AAGTGGTCTGTGTTGTGTTGAAGACAGTGTCTCTGTTGCCTGGCTCCTGGGCTAGAATGCAGTGGAGTCATCATAGCTTAACTCCTGCAGTCTCAAATTCCTGGGCTCAAGTGATACTCCTGCCTCAGCACCCAAGTATGCCACCTTGCCTAGCTACTTTTGTTGTTTTGTAGAAACACTAGTGCCCAGGCTGGTCTTGAACTGCTGGCCTCCAGTGACCCTCCCACCTCGGCTTACCAAAGTTTTAGGATTACTGGCATGAGCCACCATACCCAACCAGAACTGAGTGTTTACCAGGAAAGGAGAATGTGGACCAAAGGGCAGTAATGAGGCAACAATTGCTAGAGGTTAGGACAGGGGTGAGGCACCTTTTCCTGTTGGAAGGCCATGTTAATTTAGCTGTAATCAAATAAGGCTGAATTCAAGAAACTTCAATTAGATATACTTAAAAATATACATTATTTTGTAAAAAATCTAGTTAATAATTTCAAAAAATGAAAACTGTTAAAGTTAACTAACCTTTTAATGACTTTGTGTCTGCTTTTTTGTTGGAAAGCATTTGAATATTTGGTTGCAGCATGGAGGTCCACAGTTTCAATTGATCCTCTAGATGGATATATTGATATGAATTAGGTAGGAGAAAGTAGATTCACAGGAATAAGCAGTTGAAAAGCAAGAAGGCATTTATCAGGCATGTTGCCAAAGGCGTGGGTATTCTGCATTTTTTCGTATTTCAGTTGGATCTTTCTTAACATCAGACAATGACTCTAAGATGTCATCTACTGAAAGCTCAATCATTTCCAGTTCCATCTGTAGTTCTTAATGTTTAAGCTTCCTTCCTTACTTCCTTCTTTTTTCTTTTTCTTTTTTTTTTTTTTTTTTTTTTTTGAGACAGAGTCTAACTCTGTTGTCCTGGGTAGAGTGCAGTGGTGTCATCATAGCTCACTGCAGCCTCAAACTCCTGGGCTCAAGCGCTCTTCCTGACTGAGCCTTCCAAGTAGCTGGAACTACAGGTTCACAACACGTGGCTTATTTTTCTGTTTTTAGTAGAGACGAGGTCCCTTGCTCAGGCTGATCTCAAACTCCTGAACTCAAGCAATCCTCCCATCTCAGCCTCCCAGAGTGCTAGGATTACAGGCCTGAGCAGCCCCATCTGTAATTCTCTAGGTTGCCTTGGCGATATCAACTAGTTGAGGCTGAAATGCTAATTTCAGTGTGATGTAATGATTCTCAAAAGTCAGTGAACCTTTCATTTTACTCTGCAATTAATAGTTCTATAACAGCTGTGTATTTTTCAAATGATTTGCATATATCCTGTTCATCAATGACCTTAGCTAACTGAGGAAAGTCATCTCAATTCCTTTTGGAGAAAATGTTTGAGAGAGAAAGACTAGTTTTTTTGAAATGCTTGGATTTTTGCCGCATACCATTTATAGACTTAGTTTTACCTTGCAAAGAAATATTCAGTCATTTTGATTTAACATATCAACGACAATGCCTATCCTATAGAAATCTTCTTCAATAATCATGCTGGGTGTGATGGCTCACGCCTGAACCCTAGCACTCTGGGAGCCAAGTGGGTGGATCTCAAGGTCAGGAGTTCAAAACCAACCTGAGCCAGACCCTGTCTCTACTAAAAATAGAAAGAAATTAATTGACCAACTAAAAATAGATAGAAATATTAGCCTGGATGGGTTGGCGCAGCCTGTATCCCAGCTACTCGGGAGGCTGAGGCGTCAGATTGCTTAGGCCCAGGAGTTTGAGGTTGCTGTGAGCTAGGCTGACGCCACAGCATTCACTCTAGCCTGGGCAACAAAGCGAGACTCTGTCTCAAAAAAATATATATATATATATTTTTTTTTTTTAAATAAAACAAGTTGTGTGAGCTAACACTTTGTTATTTCAGAAATCAGACAAGCATATTCTGGAGTGAAATTGAGGGAAGGGGACCAGGTGCAATGGCTCATTCTTGTAATCCCAGCGGTTTGGGAGGTGGAGGCAGGAGGATTGCTTTGAGCCCAGGAGTTCAAGACCAGCCCATGCAACACAGCAAGACCCTGCCTCTACAAAAAAATAACTGAGGGAAGGAGAGAAACAAGCAGGATCCTGGGACTGAGTCTGCCCGTGCCTGAGTAGAAAAGAAAACACTTGATGGTGTGAGTGGTATTTTGTTTTCCCTAAAGGGAATTATTTTGGGAACCGTCTCCTGAACTGGTGGACTAACATACAGAGCTAACTTGGGATTGGCACCCTCAGCTTTGGGGATGATGCCATATTCTCTATTTTTCACGTCCTGGTATGGTGCTTAGTATCCCAGGCTATGGACATTTATGTCCCATATTGGCAAATTGGCATCCCCACCCCAAAGCTGTAATACAAAGGGAATTCTAGGTTTCTGCCAAGTTATAAATGCTCCCAAGGTTCCAATGAATATCCAGTGGATGCATAGAACTACTAAGGGTGAATAGACTCAAACCAAGAGGATCAGCCATCAAGATTTACATTTGAAAAAGGGTCAGATTCTAAAAGAGGGAGGGGCACACACACCACTTGTAATAGCCCAGCAACATAGGTTGGACTAGGGAACAGGAAATCAGTGGGCTCACATCTGCCAGATGTCTTTTGTAAAATTTTTCAAAAATCTCTCAACGATATCAGACATTCTCATTATTTAGCAGGTTTTTTTTTTTTTTTTTTTTGAGGAACAGAGTCACTCTGTTGCCAGGCAGACTGGGACGTGCCATGGGCATGCCGCCGCATCAACAAGCACACCTCAAACTCCCTGGGCTCAAGCAATCCTCTCCTGCCTCAGCCTCCCGAGTAGCTGGGACTTTACAGGCATGCGCCATCATCCCGGCCAATTTTTTGTATATATATTTTTAGTTGGGCAATTAATTTCTTTCTATTTTTAGTAGAGACGAGTCTGGTTCTTGCTCAGGCTGGTTTCGAACTCCTGACCTCGGGCAATCCGCCCGGCCAGAGTGCCAGGATTACAGGTGTGAGCCACCACGTCTGGCCAATTAGCAGTATTTTGTGTTTTTCATCCACTTTAGGTAATTTCCTCTTACATTTTCATTAACGTCCCTTTTAATATATTTATGTTTTAGTTTAAAAAAAAGCTGGCTCCCACTAAATTGATATCATGACCAGTTAATGGGGCACAACCTAAAGTCTGACAAACATTGCTCTAAGCATTCAATTTATTTGCCTCAGGGCCATTGCATATGCTATTCGCTCTGCCTGGAAAGCTTTTCTTGTATCCTTTTCACCTGGATAGATCTTACTCATTTTTCAAGGTATGAATCAAAGGATGCTTCCCTCCGTGGAGCTGAATGCCTGCATTTGCATCCTGAATGTCGTGATAAATAAGTTCATACGTGCAAAGTACTCAGAACAGTGAGTGTTAAACAGGAATGCTGCTTCTTATTGTGAGTTAGAAATTATACAACTCTTTGTGTGATTATCAATATCTGTTTCCTCACACTTCCCAGACTCTAAATTTCATCTTTATATTCCCAGCGCCTCACTTGGCCGGGGACACAAGTGGCTCACAAAAGCACTAAACGATGAGAAGGAACTGGCAAGAAGGAATAAAACGGAGAGGCTGGGGGTTGAGCCAGCTCAGGGCGACACGCGTCACTCCTGGGGCCCCGCCTTTGGGCGGGGCCGCGTCTGCTTGCAGAGCGGCGGTCACGTGGGCCCAGGTGGTGGCTGCGTGGGAAGCTGGGCCAAGATGGCGGCGATGAGGAAGGTGCTGCCGCAGCGACTGGTCGGCTTGGCGTCCCTACGGGCTGTAAGTGCCCCGGGCCGCTGAGGGGGCTGTCCTGCAGGCACCTTGACGGTCAGGGTCAAGGGCTTGGCCCGTGGCAGCTTCTCTCTGAGAGGCGAAGCCGGACAGCTCTTCAAGCCGTAATTGGGAGATTGTTGGAGTCTTGGACCCTCCCTGTCCCGCCCAAATCCTTTGAAGGGTAGGAGAAAGCCGAGACAGGAGAGGTGGGGCGGCTTGCTTGGGTCTTAGAGACCTGGGAAGCCATTCCGGGCATCCTGATTCCCTGTCTACGGAATCAGGTGACCTGGCCCCTTTGTTCAGTTGAGCTTCAGACCTCTCCAACTCTTAATTAGTGAAAATCACGAACACTCCTCAAGTTCTGCGTGGGAAAAGCAAGGTCACCACTTCCTCCGCCTCCATCTCCAACTCTTGTTACTTGTAGAGACGCTTGGTTTATATCCCACCGAACCCAGCAGGACTTGGGTCGCGCGGAGCCAGGCTGTCATTCCTTGGAATTGTACTTTGGGCTTGTTGGATCCTGCTGTTTTCCCCTCTCTGTCATGCTCAGCGAGTGGAGGAAAAGTGTGGGATACCTAGCTGTATAAAGGGTTAAGTTGTGCTGGTCAGTGCTCAAGCTACTGTGTCCCAATGGTTCTGCCACTGTCTAGACTGAGTGACATATTTACTCTCTTTGAACTCAGTTTTCTCGTCTGTAAAATGTATAACATTACGTTGGGTTTGTTTTGGAAATTAGCAAAAATGTAGGTAAAGTATTTGGCATTGTTCTGGCTCTTAACAAGTGATCAGTCAGTGGTGGTAAAAACATAACCGTGTGGGGGGGGGGGTGAAATTACACTCTTCTGGCACTGGGTCCCTCTCAGAAAGCCATTTTAATGTTTTTACTAGGCGACTCGCCTCCACCAGTTGCTCATGTGTAAAATGCGGATGGTAATTCCAACTTGGAAAGTTAAGAAAATTGAATTAGATGGTGGATATTAACGTGCTCTTTAAAAAAAAATCCCTGGTTGAAATATATATATATATATATATATAAAAAAATTTTAAAGTAAAATAATAAATTTTTTAATGAAATAAAAAAAATTTAATCTTGGTGTAACGAGATGGCCCTCCATTGGGTTACTGTTAGAGCCAGACCCGGGTTCAGGTCCAGGCTCCGTCACTTTCTAGCTGTGTGATTTTGGGTGATATTTCTGAGACTCAGTTACTTCCTTCATTGAGTTGGAATAATGACTGTCCCTGCCTTTAGGTACTGATGCCTGTACTTTAGCGCTGGATTTTAGTCAATATTAGACTGACTGTTATTGTTGATACTGATGTAGATACACCATACCTTGGGATGCTGTGGCATAGTAATTGTGTGGTTGGGGGGGATCCTCCTTGAGCACAACTTTAAATAAGAAGAAAGTGGGTCTGTGTTTGTTTAAGACAGTGTCTCTGTTCCCTGGGCTAGAATGCAGTGGAGTCATCATAGCTTAACTCCTGCAGTCTCAAATTCCTGGGCTCAAGTGATACTCCTGCCTCAGCACCCAAGTATGCCACCTTGCCTAGCTACTTTTGTTGTTTTGTAGAAACACTAGTGCCCAGGCTGGTCTTGAACTGCTGGCCTCCAGTGACCCTCCCACCTCGGCTTACCAAAGTTTTAGGATTACTGGCATGAGCCACCATACCCAACCAGAACTGAGTGTTTACCAGGAAAGGAGAATGTGGACCAAAGGGCAGTAATGAGGCAACAATTGCTAGAGGTTAGGACAGCGGGTTGAGGCACTTTTTCCGTTGAAGGCCACGTAATTTAAGCTGTAATCAAAAATAAGCTTGATTTCAAGAACTTCATTACGATATACTAAAATATACATTTATTTGTAAAAAATCTAAAAGTTATAATGTCAAAAAAATTGAAATACTGTAAAAGTTAGAAAAACTAACCTTTTAAAAATTGATTTTGGGCTTTTTTTTGTGAAAGCATTTGAAGATAATTGCGTGCAAGCAATGGAGGTCCACAGTTTCAATTGATTTCCTCGTAGATTTGGAATATATGATTATTTTGAATTAGGTAGGGGAAAGTAGATTAACAGGAATAAAGCAGTGAAAAAAGCCAAAGAAGCTAATTCAGCATTGTCCAAAAGCATGGGTATGTCGTGCATTTTTTTTTTCATATTTCAGTTGGATCTTCTTAACTCAGACAAATGACTCTAAAGATGTCATTCTTACGAAAAGCTCAAATCATTTCCAAGTTTTTCCATCGTAGTTCTTTAATGCTGTATGGTTCCTTTCCTTCTTTTCTTTTTTTTTGAGACAGGAGTCTAAACCTTGTTGTTCTGTTTAGAGTTGCATGTATTGTCATTCATAAGTCACTGCAGCCTAAAACTCCTGGGTCAAAAGCGCTCTCCTGACTGAGCCGTCCAAAAAGTAGCTGGGAACCAAACAGGTTTCACAGACACGGGCTTATTTTTGCTGTTTTTTGTAGTAGGAATCGAGGTCCTTGCTTCGTGATCTCCGAAAACTTCCTGAACTTCAAGCATAAATCCTCTCCATCTTTTCAAGGCTCCAGAATGGCTAGGAAATTACAAGGCCTGAGCAGCCAATTCTGTAATCTTCTAGGTTTGCCTTGTGCGATATTCACTAAGTTGAGCTTGAAAAAAAAATGCAATTCAAGTGTGATGTATAATGATTCAAAAGTCAGTGAAACCTGTTCTTTACTCTGCATAAAAAGTTCTATAACAGCTGTGTATTTTTTTCAAAAAAATTTTGATTTGCAATATATCCTGTTCATCCAATTGACCTTAAGCTAAAACTGAGGGGAAAAATTGTTCATTCAAAATTCCTTTGAAGAAAAGAAAGGTTTGAAAAAAAAAGATATTTTTAAAAATGCTTGGATTTTTGCCGCAACCATTTATAACTTAGTTTTTACTTGCAAAGAAAATCAATCATTTTGATTTAACATATCACAACAGGAAATGCTGCACTTCCATTAGAGAAAGCTTCTTTCAGATATTATTCATGTGGTGTGAATGGCTCACGCCTATAAAACCCTTAGCACTGCTGGGAGGCCAAGGGGGTGATGTCTTCAAGTTCAAGGAGTTCCAAAACCAAACCTGGGACCAGAACTGCTCTACTAAAATGAAAAGAATTAATGACAACTAAAAATAATAGAAAAATTACCTGGCATGGTTGGCGCATGCTGTAGTCCAGCTATCGGAGGCTGAGGCAGTAGATTGCTTGAACGGAGATTTGAGGTTGCTGTGAGCTAGGCTGATGCATGGCATTCACTCTAGCCTTGGCAACAAAGTGAGACTCTGTCTCAAAAATAAATAAATAAATAAAATAATTCACATTGCTGATTCTGTTCTTCATGCAATTTAACTATCTGTTCTCACAGAGATAAAATTTTGGCTAACACCTGTCCTTGTGATAGCCAATACACTTTAGAATGATATGGCATCACCAGCAAATTGGTATTAACTGATCAACACCTAAGTGGACATATAGAAATAACATTTATCTGGTGTCGGGCAGGTGGGAGGAGGGGATGGGGTAGTAACATACATAATGAGTGCGATGCGCACCAACTGGGGGATGGACAGGCTTGAAGCTCTGACTTAAGGGGGGAGGCCAGCAAGGGCAATATATGTAACCTTAACATTTGTACCCCCATACTATGCTGAAAAAAATTTTAAAAAATAGAATGATATGGCAGATCCACACTGAATAACTTTTAGCATGTTATGAAACTGACACTGACAGATGCCATGTTGCATTTGCAGGAATATAGTTATAAAATAATACTTATAACTTGTTGCAAAGTATATCATTTAAAATAGTTTTAGCACTATTTAGCACAGAGATTTTGCTGATGCAAAATACAGTGAGAAGAAATGAGAGCATCTGGATCTGTTAATATTTTTAATCTGTGCAACAAACCCTTCATGTTTTCCTGTCATGGAAGGTACGCCTTCTATACATGCACTCACTAAATTTACCAAATTCAGTCCAACTTCACAACATTTATTTGAAAGTCATTTAAGATATCTATTCCCTATGTTCTGTTCGCAAGAGTGCCCAAAGCAAGTAACTCTTCGTAGCAAAGAAAATCTTGTTATGACACAAAAGAAGTATAAAATCTGCACCAAGTCAGTATCAGCTGATTCATCCAAAGCGATTAAATAATATATATTTTCCTTTTGAAGTATTTCATGAAGTTCTGTTAAGTTGAAAGCTAATTTACGCTTCCTATCAGTTGTGGTTCTCCTTAAAGGAGGCAGTTGTTTGTACTTTGAAACATTATCAGGCTCTAAGCATCCTACAACTTTGACAAGCTTCTTTCACAATTTCTACATCACTGAATGGCTTCCCTTTTTTCCTGAGTATATAAGCTACTTTATAAGTTGCTTCTGTGGCATTATTTCTAGGTTTTATCAATGCTTGAAAGAATTGTCTTTGCTTTGCTTTCATCTTTTTTTTTTTTTTTTTGAGTACAGAGTCTCGCTTTGTGTGCCCAGGCTAGATGAGTGCCGATGGCGCACCTAGCTCACTAGTCAACGCTCAACTCCTGGCCTAAAGCCAAATCCTCCCTGTCTCAGCCTCGCGAGTAAGCTGGGACTACAGCATGCGCCACATGCCGCTATTCCGATATTCTATAATTATGTGTAATGCATGATATATAATATATGTTAGTTGGCAAATTATTTCTTTTCAATTTTTTTTATAGTAGAGTACGGGAGTCTGCCTCAGTGTTGGGTTTGAACTCCTGACCTTGAGCAATCCACCCACCTCGGCCTCCCAGAGTGCTAGGATTACAGGCGTGAGCCACCTTACCTGGCCGCTTTTCATCTTTTAATTTCTGCAATACAACCTTTTGTGCCACTCCCTTTAATTTAAAATATTTGTGGTCCTTATGAGTGTTATAATGCTGATGAGCATGGAATTTCTTTAATGTTGATACTGCAGTATGACAAGCAAATCATCTTATCTTTAGCAGAAACAAGATAATATTGCAATTCCCAATCTTCATTAAAATTTCTGTTTTCTTCCTTCAGCATTCTCTTGGTCCTCTTTGACATGATGGGCTGTTAAGCAGACAGAATTTTAAAATACTGTTGAGCTGTGCAATTATTCACAAATTCCACTTCAAACAGAAACACAGTGCACCACTGTCAAAAGCTGACAACAGACTGGTGTACTCGACCCCCATAAACTCTCACCAACCAGCTTGTAGTAGTGGCACCTGTCAGGCAGGGAAGTTAGAACTAAATCATGAGCATAGCAGCTGTCAATTTAGCCCTTATGGCTTACTAATATTCTTATTGTGCCAGTCAATCTTGGAGGATTATTTCATTGAAGCTTATTCTATTCTTTGGTGTTTTAAATACATTACCATTTCAAAGATAAAAACATAAAAGACAAGCAAAATAAATAGGATTTGTTCTGTAAAATTTAGATTCAGTCAAAAGTCCACACTTAAGAATGTGGAAGGCCCCATGTGGCCTTATGGCTGCAGGTTCTCCAACCCTGGGTTAGGAGCATGTGCTCTAGAGCCACAATGCCAGATTCAGATATTCCCTCATTGACTAGCCATGTGACTTTAGGAAGGTTACTTAATCCCCTTGGGCCTCAGATTTTCACAGTTAAATTGGGATTATGATAATTCCTACCTAATAAGGTTGTTGACAGCATGACATGGTTTAATATGTAAAAATCCTCTTATATGCGCATGGCAAATACTTTTACATCCTTTCAACATTCAACAGTTATTTTTTGGGCACCTACTATGTCCCAGGGCCTTGAAAATACAGCAGTGAATAAAACAAAGTCCCTGCCTATGAAACTTACATTCCGGGGAGATAATTTTAGGGTTGTGCACTAGCTGAGGCTGTATATCCCTTTTGGAGGGAGATTCGAGCTTCAGGGACCTTCCAGTAGAGGCTATTGACTTTGTGAAATGCAGTGGCTAGTCTCATTAGTCTCTGGGAAACATTGCTGCCTAAAACCAAGGCCAGTTCAGGTAAGTCATTCAAATTCCAGCTGGTTCCAAGCAGGGAATCCCTTAAGAGTTTCAAGGGGCTGGGATCCTTATTAGATTACACAGTATACCTCTCCCCTTGCCCCACTGCAGTATGTTTATCCAGATTAAATCTGATAAATGAAAGTTAATTTGAAGAGTTACAATATCAAGAAGGGTACAGGAATGAGGGCACAGAAATCTTAACATCAGTTGGTGGGAAGAAGGGTGAGATTTGGGGGAGACTTTATGTAGGGGAGACTCAAGGCTTTTTTATTTAAGTGCCTTAAGCTACTGGGGGTGTCATCTCCCCTCAGATTCATTCTCCTTGTCATCACCCAGCCTATGATTGTTATAGACCAGAGTCCTACATCCCACCCCCTGCAAAGTCCAGGAGGACTTCCCACATTCAGTAATTACCCTCCTCTGGGACAGCTATGCCTTCATGCATTTATTTGTTATTTCAATAACTTTAATCAGTGACAACTTTGTGCCAAGCACAGTGCCAAAAACTGGTGATCAAGTGGAGGTCAAGACAGACAAGGTCCCTCATAGAGCTTGTGTTCTACTGGCAAAAACATTTGCAGTGCTTTGAGGAAATGATTCTACTCATTTCCTCAATGATTAGAGGGGGTGGGGTGAGTGCCAGCTTTGCCAAGGGTGGTCAGAGGAGGCCTCTGCAAGATGAGATGGAGGTGTGAGAAGAGCTAGGTGAAGAGCCTTTGGGCAGAGGGAGGCCCTGCTGAGGGAGAGAAGGCCAGGGGGCTGGAGCTTGGTCCTGGGGTGGGGAATTGGAACTGGGACAGTAGGGACAAGTGAGTTCAGCAGGAGCCAGATCGCAGAGTCTTGTGGGCCATGGCAAATAGGGGAAGAGGATCAGTCAAGTTCTGGCTTAAGCAACAGGGTGCATGTGATGCCTTTTATAGAGCTGGACAAGCTTTAGGAGAAATTAAAGAGTTCTGTTTTGGGACTGCTAAATTGGAGAGGTGCACATAGAGCTGTCTGGCAATTGGAAATGAGTCTGGACTTTAGGGGAGAACCTGTACCGGGAGCATGAATCTCTTGCTCATTCCTATTCTAAGTGAAATATTCTTTTTGTTCTTAATTCTAAAATAAACCAAATGTGAACTAAATGGTGAGAAACATGCATTTTGTCTCCATTCTTCAGATCCATTCTTTCAGATTGGTCCCGCCTAGGAAATTGTGACAATCTCTTCCTGTTAATTTTTGTTTCCTCTTTTAAACCAAAGGTCAGTACTTCATCTATGGGCACTTTCCCAAAGCAGGTGAAAATCGTGGAAGTTGGTCCCCGAGATGGACTACAAAATGAAAAGGTAAATGAAAATTAACCCAAATATGTTATTCAGGCATCTGCTTTGATATTCTGTGTGGTGGTGGTGGGGGGGACAGAGCTGTGCAAGACATGATCACTCTGCCTGACTTAGGGCTGAGCTGAGGAGGCCGGGCAGGCACCTGCGACAGTTAAATCGTCTAAACTGGTGGTGCAACAGGTGTGATGCGCCCTTGTGACAGCCTGGTGGGATGGGTGGATGGTGTAGAGGGAAGGCAGGAGCACACCTTTTGATCCGCCAGTCCACATAAGGAGGTTTATCCAAAGGAAGTTGTGAAGACCAAGTGCAGATATGTAGCACTGAATGTTCCTTACGAACCTGTTGGCAATAGCAGAACAGTTGGAAACAACCTAATGTTCAGTATGGGGAAAGTTGGGTCAAATATATTATGGACTTTTCATAAAATGAAATATGAAGCTATTAATAATAAAGGTATATGTTAAGTGATTCAATCAGGTTATAAAATGTGTGTATACATTTTTTTTAATGTTACACTTTTATGTAAGAAACAAAAGGTAGATACGTGGGAGCATCTACCTAGAATAGGGTCTTTTTTTTTTTTTTTTTTGAGGCAGAATCTCACTCTGTTGCCCGGGCTAGAGTGCCATGGCACCAGCCTAGCTCACAGCAACCTCAAACTCCTGGGCTCAGGCAATCCTCCTGCCTCAGCCTCCCAAGTAGCTGGGATTACAGGCACGCGCCACCCCGCCAGCTAATTTTTTCTGTATATTTTTAGTTGGCCAATTAATTTCTTTCTACTTTTAGTAGAGATGGGGTCTCACTCTTGCTCAGGCTGGTTTTGAACTCCTGACTTTGAGCTATCCGCCTGCCTCAGCCTCCCAGAATGCTAGGATTACAGGCGTGAGCCACCACGCCCGACCTAGAATAGGGTCTTCACCAGCACTGTCCCATAGAACTTTCTGTAGAGATGGAAATATTCTAGACCTGAGCTTTCCCATTTGGTAGCCATTAGACGCTTGGGGTTTTTTTTGTTGTTTTTTTTTCTGAGACAGAGTCTCACGCTAGAGTGCCGTGGCATCAGCCTAGCTCACAGCAACCTCAAACTCCTGGGCTCAGGCGATCCTCCTGCCTCAGCCTCCCAAGTAGCTGGGACTAAAGGCATGCGCCACCATGCCCGGCTAATTTTTTCTATATATTAGTTGTCCAGATAATTTCTTTCTATTTTTTTTAGTAGAGATGAGGTCTTGCTCTTGCTCAGGCTGGTCTCAAACTCCTAAGCTCAAACGATCCGCCTGCCTCGGCCTCCCAGAGTGGTAGGATTACAGGGGTGAGCCACTGCGCCCAGCCTGGATGCTTATTCGTGAGCCCTTGAAATATGGCTGGTGTGGCCATGGAATTGCATTTTTATTTTTACATAATTTAAGTAAATTTAACCACATGTGGCTAGTGGCTAACATGTTAGACTATATGGATGTAAAAAGTCACAAAAAGGGTGTTAATGGTGTCATTGCTAGGAGGTTTTAAGGGTAGTTTTCTTTTGTTTTTGGCATGTTTTTCTGAAATAATCATGTATCGATTATTTTTTCAATAAGAAAAGTTTTTTCTTTTCCTTTTTTTTTTTGAAAGCATGACCATCCTAGCTTTTTTTTTTTTTTTTTTTTTTGAGACAGAGTCTCACTTTGTTGTCCAGGCTAGAGTGAGTGCCGTGGCGTCAGCCTAGCTCACAGCAACCTCAAACTCCTGGGCTCAAGGCAATCCTCTGCCTCAGCCTCCCGAGTAGCTGGGACTACAATGCGCCACCATGCCCGGCTAATTTTTTATTATATATATCAGTTGGCCAATTAATTTCTTTCTATTTATAGTAGAGACGGGGTCTTGCTATTGCTCAGGCTGGTTTAGAACTCCTGACCTCGAGCAATCCGCCTGCCTTGGCCTCCCAGAGTGCTAGGATTAAAGCGTGAGCCACCACGCCTGGCCCATCCTAGCTTTAATAGTGCTTGTTAGAAACGAGTCCATAAGCTCCATGAGGGCAGAATCCTGCCTCTTCTGCTTATACTACATCACAGCACCTGACACAATGCCTGGAATATGAAAGGTTTTCCAAAATAACTGGTGGAGTAGACTAAGTTAAAGCAGTGGGAGAGAAATTTGAGAAGAGGGGTGGGATGGGACGGCATATTGAAAAGGAGCTGGGCTAGGCACTGTGGCTCACGCCTGTAATCCTAGCTCTCTGGGAGGCCAGGCAGGCAGATCGCTCAAGGTCAGGAATTCGAAACCTGCCTGAGCAAGATCAAGACCCCGTCTCTAATAAAATAGAAAGAAATTAATTGGCCAGCTAGGCTGGGCGCGGTGGCTCACGCCTGTAATCCCAGCACTCTGGGAGGCCGAGGCGGGCAGATTGCTCAAGGTCAGGAGTTCAAAACCAGCCTGAGCAAGAGTGAGACCCCATCTCTACTATAAATAGAAAGAAATTAATTGGCCAACTAATATATATATATAGAAAAAAATAGCCGGGCATGGTGGTGCATGCCTGTAGTCCCAGCTACTCGGGAGGCTGAGGCAGGAGGATTGCTTGAGCCCTGGAGTTTGAGGTTGCTGTGAGCTAGGCTAATGCCACGACACTCACTCTAGCCTGGGCAACAAAGTGAGACTTTGTCTCAAAAAAAAAATTGGCCAGCTAAAACTATATAGAAAAAATTAGCCGAGCATGGTGGCACATGCCTGTAATCCCAGCTACTTGGAGGCTGAGGCAGAAGGATCACTTGAGCCCAGGAGTTTGAGGTTGCTGTGAGCTAAGGCTGACACCATGGCACTCTAGCCCAGGCAACACAGTGAGATTCTGTCTCAAAATAAATAAATTAATAAAAATAAAAGGAGCTGGAGTTTGTAGAATTTTTCTTACTTAATCCTGTAGGTATTAGGGAGCCATAGAAGGGTTTTGGGAAAGAAAGTGAGAGGAAGCTGCGTTTTAGGAGGATTCCTACGTAGGATGGATTGGTTGAGTGAGACTTTGCCATAATGACGGTAGATTTAGAAAGAGGAATCCATACAATCTGGTGAGTGACTAGACATGGTGAGGGAGGGAGAGAAGCTATAAGCTGAGCACATGAGGATGAAGTCCTGCGCAAGTGGGGAGGGGGAAAAGAGGAGGGTATGATACTTGGGGGCCCTAGCCCAGGACCCAGAGGGTTAGCAGCCTCTGCCCTTTCAGGCCACTACACAGTGTTCTCCACTGGTTTGTGATAGTGTCATAAGCTAACACACATTTAGTTAAGGAAAAGTCTGTGTGGCAGAAAAATGTTTCCATGTAAATATTAACTCTTTTTCAGGTGAGAAGCTGCATCTATTGCAAAACACTATCTGTAGAACTCAAAGACAAGCCTTGTACCCCACCTATAGATGGGGATCACACGTGAATCCATGTCAGTATGTGGAAGTTAGGGCAGTGAATGCTTGCTCTGGCAAAAGCTTTGAACTCACAGGCACTGCTTTTTGAAGCCATTTTATTACCAACTTTGCTGACCCGTCTCCTGGTTTTTCTCCTCTACAGAATGTTGTACCTACTCCAGTGAAGATCAAGCTCATAGACATGCTTTCTGAGGCAGGACTCCCTGTTATAGAAGCCACCAGCTTTGTGTCTCCCAAGTGGGTTCCCCAGGTGAGACCCAGCCCTCAATGAGAGAGGCCTTCCTCAGTGATGGAAAGTTTTGCATTTTCCCCTGCAGCATATAGAAGTAGGAAACTTAGGTTTCCGGGTCCCTAACTTTGAGAAGTCTCAGGTGATTCATAGCTCTCTGTTGCTGCAAAAGTATGTGACCTGGGATTCAGGGGTCGTGGACTCGGTCTCGGCCCTGCCCCACGTGCTGGGTGACCTTGCTAGGACCTTCCCCTCTGCAGGTTTCAGAGATGACCTCTCAGGTCTCTCCTGGCTCTAAAAGTCCCAAATTTCTGTGCCTGTCTGTGGCTTCTGTGTTTGAAAAAGGGGAAGAGGGATGACTCCTGCTTTACAGAGATGATCAAGTGGGGAAGAAAGATACAAAATGAGTGTCAGAGAGCACAGAGAGAGCTGAGCACAGCGCCTGGCTCAGCGTGAGTCCTAAGTAAGTGGCTGGTACCAGATTACTGTTTTTTCTGCTTCTGTAAAGCTGGCAGTGTGGGCCACGTGGAAAAACTGGGTATCACCCAAACCTAGGACCTTTCTGGCCCATGAGCAGTCAAACAAATAGTAAACGCATTGGGGATACCTGGCTTGGCTGGAGGCATCATTCTCCTAGGGCTCTGGAGAACAGAGATTTTGTGATAAAAAGGATTTCTCTGAGTGCTCTGCCTGCTACTAGTGATAACTTGGCAATGCCTCTCTCCTTTGGCTCCTAGATGGCTGACCACACTGAAGTCTTGAAGGGCATTCAGAAGTTTCCCAGCATCAGCTACCCAGTCCTGGTCCCAAATTTGAAAGGCTTCGAGGCAGCGGTAAGAGAATAGCTTGCTGGTGGGGGCCTTAGAAGAGATTGATGGCATGGGTGAAGTGTCTCGGGGCTTCACTTCCCTATCCTGGGAAGTCTACCTGACCATCTTGTCTTTCATTCAGACCCTGGGACAGACTGGCCCTGACACTCACCATTCTCTGATCTTGACAAGTTGCTTAATCTCTCTGAGCCTCATGTTCTGCCTGTAAAATTGGGCTGCTGGTAGTGCCTAATGTTGTGGGGATGTCAGAGAGAGAATGTGCACACACTGCCGGGCGTAGCTACGGCCTGGTGTAACACAAGTGCCTAATGAACGTTAGTCCTTGTTACTACCCACTGCTTCAGAGAAAGGTGACCAAGCTGTCCACACGAGTTTCAAGCATCTACCAACTTTCTTCGAATTTTGTATATTGGTTTTCCTTCTTTTATTTCTAACTTTATTCTTTGGTGTTCAGAGAAAAATCCATTGCATGATATCCATCTCTTAAAACCTACTGAGACTTAATTTGTAGTCTAACATATGGTTAGGAAAATGTTCAAAGTGCTCTTAGAACAATGTATATTTTGTGATTGTGTAGAATGTTCTGTATGTCTGTTGGATCTAGTTGGTTTATTGTGTTGTTCAAGTCTTCTGTTTTCTTCTGTTTGGTGGTTCTAGCTATTATTTTTAATGAGGTATTAAAGTCTTCATCTGTGATTGTGGAGCTGTCGATTTCTCCCTTCTATTCTGTCAATTTTTGGTTCAATTTTGATGGCCTGTCACTAGGTGTGTAAATGTTTATCATTGTTATATCTTCTTGCTGTTTTTAATCTTACATTAATATATCATTTTGTCACTTAGAACCTTTTCTTTAATTACTATTGTCTTAGAGACAAGGTCTCACTGTGTTGCCCAGGCTGGAACTTCTGGGCTCAAGTGATCCTCCCACCTCAGTTTCCCGAGCAGCTGGGACTGCAGGTGTGTACCACCATGCCTGGTTAACTTTATAAATTTTTTGTAGAGATAAGGTCTTGCTGTGTTACCCAGGCTGCTCTTAGACTTCTGGCCTCAAACAGTCCTCCTGCCTCAGCCTCGAGTAGCTGGGACTGAGGGACATGAGCAACTGCACCTCTCTCTCTTAGAACCTTTTTGGTTTAATGTCTGTTTGTCTGAGATAAATACAGTGACCCCTGCTGTCTTTCATTTACTGTTTATGTGGAACAACTTTTTCTGTCCATTCACTTTTGACCTGTTTGTGTCTTTGAATCTTCTTATAATTTTAGACAAGAAACTCATTGAAGGCCGGGCGCGGTGGCTCACGCCTGTAATCCTAGCACTCTGGGAGGCCGAGGCTGGCGGATTGCTCGAGGTCAGGAGTTGGAAACCAGCCTGAGCAAGAGCGAGACCCCGTCTCTACTATAGATAGAAAGAAATTAATTGGCCAACTAATACATATATAGAAAAATTAGCAGGCATGGTGGCACATGCCTGTAGTCCCAGCTACTCGGGAGGCTGAGGCAGGAGGATTGCTTGAGCCCAGGAGTTTGAGGTTGCTGTGAGTTAGGCTGACGCCATGGCACTCACTCTAGCCTGGGCAACAAAGTGAGACTCTGTCTCAAAAAAAAAAAAAAAAAAGAAACTCATTGAAGGTGTTGGTTCTGCATTTAGGCAAAAAGCTTCTTTTAAGAGGACTGGCCGCGGGCGCGGTGGCTCACGCCTGTAATCCTAGCACTCTGGAGGCGAGCGGGCGGATTGCTCGAGGTCAGGAGTTCGAAACCAGCCTGAGCAAGAGTGAGACCCGTCTCTACTATAAATAGAAAGAAATTAATTGGCCAACTAATATATATACAAAAAATTAGCCGGCATGGTGGCGCATGCCTGTAGTCCAGCTACTTGGGAGCTGAGGCAGGAGGATTGCTTGAGCCAGGAGTTTGAGGTTGCTGTGAGCTAGGCTGACGCCATGGCACTCACTCTCAGGCCTGGGCAACAGAGTGAGATCTGTCTCAAAGAAAAAAAAAGACAAAAAAGAAAAAAAAAAAAAAAAAAAAAAAAAAAAAAAGGTGACTGTGTCTCATCTCAGCCTGCTAAATAGAAAAAAAAAAGAAGATCGGGTGAGATGACAGTGCGGCCAGTCCCCTTGGGGAAGTCGAAAAATGTTGTTTCATTGATATATAACTCACTCTATTTGTTTCCTCAAGCCACTGTAAGAAAGTATGATACGCCTATAATCCTAGCACTCTGGGAGGCCACGGCGGGTGGATTGCTCAAGGTCAGAGTTCAAAACACGTGAGCGAGACCCATCTCTACTAAAAATAGAAAGAAAGTAAGTGACCAACTAAAATATAGTATATATATACAAAAATTAGCCAGGCATGGTGGCACATGCCTATAGTCCCAGCTACTCAGGAGGCTGAGGCAGTGGGATCACTTGAGCCCAAGAGATTGAGGTTGCTGTGAGCTAGGCTGACATCACGGTACTCACTCTAGCCTGGGCAACAAAGTGAGACACTGTCTCAAAAAAAAAAAAAGTATGATACTATAAGCTGAGTGACCTAAAACAACAGGAATTTATTCTCTGACAGTTCTGGAGGCTAGAAGTTCTAAATCAAAGTGTCAGCAGGATTGGTTCCTTCTGAGGGTTCTGAGAGAGAGTCTGTTCCATGCCTGTCTGCCGGTTGCTGGCGTGGCCCGCTCCTCGGCCTTGCTTGGCTCGTGGATGTGTCATTCCAGTCTCCACTTCCATCTGCACTTGGTCTTCCTTCCTGTGTCTCTGTGTTTTCACATGGCTGTCCTCGTTGAACAAGACCAGTCACATTTCATCTGACATTTTTAATCTAAAAAAAAAAGAAAACAAAACAAAACAAACAAACAAACAAAAAAAAGACCAGTCACACTGGGTTAGGGGCCCACTCTATTCCTGTATGGCTTCATCTTAACTAATTACATCTGCGATGACCCTGTTTCCCAATAAGGTCACATTCTGAGGTCCTGGGAGTTAGCACTTGTACGTATCTTCTTAGGGGACACAGTTCAACCCATAACATTCACATACCACAAAATTTACCGTAAGACAATTGTTTTTGCCATTCTGGTCAGTGTTCCTTGAAGAGAAAAATGCTGAAAGGAGTTTGCCTGGATGTTGGCAGGTTGCTGCTGGGGCCAAGGAAGTGACTGTCTTCGGAGCTGCCTCAGAGCTCTTCACCCAGAAGAACATCAACAGTTCCATCGAGGAGAGTTTCCAGCGATTCGACGTGATCTTTAAGGGAGCGCAGGCAGCTGGTATTCCTGTGCGGGGGTGAGTTAGACCACACTGGTATCTTCTCCTCAGTGCCGTTCTGGAATAGTGCTGACCATTCTGGAACGGTTCTGACTCCGGCAGCCCTCCCCACCTCAAGCCCCTTACCCTAGGTGGGGCAGCCCGGGCTCCACACCTAGGCAACTTTTCCCGAGTAAATGTGGTCAGAAGAAATCCTAGCAAGTGCTTCCTTTCAAACCTGAATTTTGGGTCAGTTCACCCGAGGATGGGACACTAATTGGGTTTTGTGGAGGTCAGTTTAGTCCTGGCTTTGCCAACAACGCTTCATGCATCCCTGAAGAATCCCCTAGGCCTCTTCAGTCTCCAGCATTGCGTCTCTGATAGCAGTAGTTCCAGGCATCGTGTGTGTCGTATCTAATCGAAGCCTCACACTAGCCCAGCAAGGAGGGAGTTGTCCCTACTTTACCAATGGCACAACTGAGGCTCAGGAAGGGTAAATAGTCTCCTGCAAGGTCACACAGCTGGCCATATTGCAGCTGGAGTGATCTTTCAAAAGTGCACATCTGATCACATCACTTCTGGCTGAAAACCTTTCAGTGACTGACCAAGTGGAAACTTTGTAACATGGTTTGCAAGACCCTGCATGTTTTGGTCCCTGCCACTCTCTGCAGCCTTATTGCGCACTGTTCCCTTCTGGCTGCTCTTCCTCTGCGTGGTTCACTCCAGCCCAACTGGAACTTCTCTCCATTTGTCACACGCCCTGCTCTCTCTCGCTTCTGGGCTTTTGCCCATGCTTTGTGAGGACTGAGAACACTCTTTCCCCACATCCTACTTCTCGGGGCTGACTTCTGGTCACCTGTCAGGTCCTCTTGTGGATGTCAGTTCTTCCAAGAAGCTTTCACTGTCCTTTAGCTGGAGTCAGTGCCCTTCTCTGGGACCCCATAGGCCCCTGGACATCCTCTGACATAGCACTTCGGCAGCTTGTTGTATTCCCACCCACTAGACCCCAGGGTCCCACTGCCCTCTCCATGAAGGCAAAGCCCACATCTGTCTCAGTCCCTGCTCTGCTCGCCCAGTGCGGGGCCTAGTGTGCAGTAGGCGCTCAGTAACCGACAGGCAGATGGATGAACGGGGAAGCAGTAGCTCAAGTCCTGTCTGCCCAACTCCCAGCCTGTGCTCATTTCTCAGTGTCTGTCTCTCACCTTTCCTTGCTCAGCAGTGTTTGAAGAACAAGTGAGAGAATTAAAATGGAAAAGTGCCCTGAGATCTGTGAGTCTGAAATTACTCATCCTGCAAACATTTATTTTGCCTCTTAATATGGAGAATACTTTGCTTGACTCTAAAAGGCTTTTAAGACTCCTCAGCCCCAACAGGGCAGGTAGCAATAGAAGCTATTGCATTCAAAAATCCACACTCCTCCCCATAGCCCACAAGAGCCACGGTTGGGCCTGTGCCCACCTCACGGCCTCCTCTCAGACGTCTCTGACCCGTGCTGTCTGTGAATCAGCTGTCTGGCCTCTGTCCTGTCTCGGCCATGCCTAGCTCTTCCATCTCAGGGCTTTGCCTGGCCTCTGCTCTTGGCCTGGAATATGCTTTCCACAGACCTTCCCCTTTGTCAGCTCCAGCGTCCTGCCCTCGGGTCTTTCCTGGACCCCCGTCGGTACAGTTGGCCTCCTCTAGTTGCTCCTGTCTCATTTCCCTTTTCTTGCCTTTGTAGCACATCACTCTCCGGGATTCCTCATCCGATTATCTGGTTGTGTTTTCACTGGCTGGCTCCCTAGCTTCAAATAAGCTGCAAGAGGGCAGGGACTGCATCAGCCTTGCTCTCTGCTCGATTCCCTGTGCCTGGCACATGGCAGGCACCTCAGTAAACATCAGATGAATAAATGAATGAAGGACTCCTCTGGCAGCTCAGTGCAGTGGCCAGTCCCTTGGCCCTCAGGCCAGCCCAGCCTATCCCTGACTCGTGGCCAGCTCAGCACTTACTCGGTCTTCGGTTTCATCCAGTCCTTGTTCTCCCATGAGCACTGGCCTGGCTCCCCAGCACATAGCTCTGCTGTGCCTCATCTCATTCTGCCCAGCCACCTGCGCACGATGTCTGCTCTAGCTTCTCCCCTCCTCTTGCTCTCTTCTCGTCAATCCTCGGCTGCTCCTCCTGAGGCCTGCACGACCCCTGCTTCCCGATCCGCAGGCCCATCAGTGCCCTCCCCTCCCCGGTTTCTCCACGGCCGCCTCCTGGCACTAAGCTGTGCCACCTCTGCTCTCATTCCGCCTCGTTGAATTCGCTGCTCAGCTACAGGTGCCGGCCACACGCCGACCAGGAATGCATGTCCGTCAGCCACCCTGCCGCAGCCCTGCTGGCCAAGAGCTCTGGAGCACTGACCTCCTTCCTCCCCTGTCTCCCCACAGGTACGTCTCCTGTGTGCTTGGCTGCCCCTATGAAGGGAAGATCTCCCCGGCTAAAGTAGCTGAGGTGTGTGTGTGCGCGGGCAGCGTTCTGTGAGGGTCAGCCGCCCTGTCTGCCCCTGAGCGCACAGCTCCTCCCCCCACCCTCTCCTGGAGGTTACTGATGCAGTCAGTCACCCAGCTCCGTCACTACGCCCCCTGCGAGCACAGCCTGGTGTGCTTCCTGTGGGCCACCTCCTCGCCGGGCGTGTAGTCTTTGAAGTCCCTGGCCTCTACCCTAGCCCGAAAGCCTCCGATTCAGTTTCCAATCTGGTCATTCGACTGGTGATAACTGAGGCGATGATCCTCTGGGGAGGGGCCGCTCGCCCAGGAGTTCCCACGGTTCCTTGCAGTGGGCGAGAGGCCCCAGCCTTGACGTCTTGTGAATAGTGGCCACGTCAAGACTGAGAAGAACACAGAGTGGGAACCAAGTTGGAGCAGCCCAGGAGCTTATGTCATTTGGCCCTCAGAGCCACTCTGCCAATTTGGTATTATTGCTCCATTTCACAGTTGAGGAAGCTAAGTCTAAGTAACGTGCCACACAGGTTGCAGATGGTGAAACCAGGTCTCAGACCCCAGATTGTCTCCCTCCAAAGCCCAATTGTTCTTCCCACCACACCATGCAGCAAGGACGGATGGCAACAGTAGCAGCTGCTTGTTGAGGTCTTAGCCTCATGTTGCCACCCGTCCTCACCATAGCCCCACAAAGGGTCATCACCATTTTTCAGGAGCAAAAATGGAAGCTCAGGAAAGGTAAGTCCCTTGCTGAGGCTCACAGTTATGGAGTCTTGGAACTAGCATCGAATTCAGCGTCAGGAGACTGAGGCCTGCCCCTTCCGCTGCGCCTGCCACCCTACAGCTCAGCCCCTGCCGGGCTGCTCTCTGTGTGCAGGGGCGCTGAGGGGAGGGGATGTCACCGTTTCATTCACTGGCAGATCACTGGTGGGTGTCATCTGTATCCCCTGCCATAGCCTTCCTCACTTTGTCCAGCAGCCCGGTGAGGGCAGCATCTCCTAGGGTGAGGCGTGCGCCGCTCCTGTTTTGCAGTGCTCGCAGGGGCTTGCAAATGGGCTTTTTCAAAATGTAAATAGTTATGTTCCTCTATTATTATAAAAACTAGAACTAGTCTCTCAGATCCATGATCTTACTGCTGAGGATAAAACTGTGTGGAAGGAATCGGTTTTCTTGGCGACACACCTGGGTCTGACACCATGCATGGAGGGGGCAGGAGCGTGAGGGACGTAGGTGGTAAAAACACAGTGCTGTCTGACCCCTGCGTCGCAGTGGGGACATCACTCCCGCTCGAGTGTTTCAGACGCGGAGCTGTGCAGCCTCAGCAAGATCCCTACCTCTGAGCACTCGGGCCCCTGGCTGCCGAGTCTCATGTCTCCAAGTGCCTGCTTGCTTCCCCAGGTCAGCAAGAGGATGTACTCAATGGGCTGCTATGAGATCTCTCTGGGGGACACCATTGGCGTGGGCACCCCAGGGGCCATGAGAGACATGCTGTCTGCCGTCATGCACGAGGTGCCGCTGGCAGCCCTGGCTGTCCACTGCCACGACACCTATGGCCAAGCCCTGGCCAACACCTTGATGGCCCTGCAGGTAGGTAATAAAAGGCACATGGCCATTCTTCCAAAGGGCATGGTGGCAGGACAGCTTGGTTTCATTTATTCTTTCAGCAACATTTACTGATGCCAGTGTCCCAGGTCTCGGGCTGGCAGTGCTAGACACAGACATGCTGAGTCTGTCCTGAAGGTGCCCACATCTGTCTGTTGGTGAGATAGTCAAGGGAGTAACATGATAATCCTACTGCATCATGACAGATGCCACAAAGGGAGAGAGCCTCGAGAGGGGCCCCATCCCAGCTGAGGAGGTCAGGGAGGATTTGCCAAAGAGGCCTGAGCGGGGCTTGACAGACATGAAGTTAAGCTGTTTGAAAAAGGAAAGAGGAGAGGTGACTAGGCAGAACTGTACCGGAGGACTGAGGTGAGGTTTAGGGTGGGCCCACCCCAGCCCCACAACCACACACAGGGTTGTGAGTGTGTGTGCGGGTGTGCACTGGGGCATTTGGTGTTGCTCCCCAGACTGGGCTGAGACCGCAGATTTGGTTTCCCTTGAGGTTTGCTTCTCATGGGCTGGCCCAGAATGGGGATCCAGTTGGCTGGCAGCCCCATAGAAGGAACATTCTTAGTGTCTGACCACAGGCCACCTTGCTGTAGCATCAGTCTAACCTGCCATCTTCAGGATGGTGACGGCAATACGCGGCCCTCTTTTGTTTCCTTAGTGACCCCCTAGAGGTTCGGGTCTCTGAGCCAGATGATTCTATTATTAATACTTTCCGGGCCTGTTTCCTCAGAGTTGTGGTTGTCAAGGTTAAAGTTTATAGCTCTGTGGTCTCCGTTTCTTGACTTGCTGTGACACCCTGGCCTGGGCCCCTGCGCTTTCTTGCAGCTCATAGGGTTTTGACGTGGCAGGCAGAGGGGAGTAGACTTCCCCTTGCTCGCCTTGCCCGGCAGGTGAAAGGATTTCTGAACAGCCATGTATGTCTGCGGCCAAGCTTCACCCTGACCGTGCTCGGGACACTCCTGCTTCTTTGTGCTTCTCTGTTTCTTGGCACCTGATGTCCTCATTATCTCCTTTTTGAAAATTTCTCAGGGAACAGGATCAGCCATGTAATGACTGGCAGTAGCTTCCTGTGACCTCCCTCTTCTGTCGGTTATCTCAGAAATATGTATCATGTGACTTCTCTGTGCTGGGTACCCTGTTAAGTGCTGAGTAGACAATAGGAGCAAGAGAAGCCCAGTTCTAGCCCTCTGGGAGCTCATGTCGTAGTGGAGAAGACAGATGAAGACCACAGATGTGTAAGCACAAATTGTAAGGTCACTTATGCAGCTATTAAAGCTGACCTCTTTCTGTGTGTGCCAGCCTCTTCTCTCGGTGTTAGAGATTCTGCTGTGACCAAAACAAAATCTCTGACCTCATGAGGCTGGCACCCTAGAAAGACAGGACAGTTAGTTAATAAACAAGTAAACCTAGGATAGGCCAGGTGCTCATAAGGGCCATGGAGAAAGATAAAGCTGGTTAAGGGAGCGCCAGTCTTTATACAGAGTGGCCTCACTCACAAGATAGCATTTGAAAGAGACCGAGGGGAGCCAGGGAGTGAGCCATGGGGGAGGGTCAGGGAGGGGAGTCCAGTCCAGGACCTGCAGGTAGAGTACACTGCTGTGCTCCAGGGACATGAGGAGGCATTAGGCAGGAGCAGTGTAACCAAGGGGAGGAGCAGAGGTACTGGAGGTAGAGGAAGGCAGATCAGGTAGGACTGGGACTGAGCTGGGAAGCTGATGAGAGTCTTGGGCAGGGCGGGGGATAAGATCTGAAACTTTCCCTTTAAAAGGATCCGTCTGGCTGCTGGTGGAGAACTGACTATAGAGGGACAGTAGTAGGAGCAGAAGAACCAGTTTGGAGCTTCCCGTGATCCTGGAAGGAGCAGGCAGTGGGCAGATTGTCAGGAGTTTGCTTTCTGGCCTGTGAAGCTGGAGACATCTGTCAGGTGTCCCAGTGGAGCTGCTGACTGTGTGACTCTACACTTCAGGAAGTGTCTGGGCTGGGTGTAAACATTATAGAGTCTTCAGCACGTAGATGGGTATTTATTTAAAGACAGCACGGTCACCTGAGAGCGAGTGTAGATTCAGAGCTGTTGGCCAGGCCGGCGCACGGTGCTCACGCCTGCTATCTAGCAACTTTCTGGAGGCGAAGGCGGGCGGATGGCTTGAAGGTTTCAGATGTTCGACCAGCCTGAGCAAGAGCAATGACCCGCGTCTTGCACTATATAAATAGAAGAAATTCATTGCGCCAACTGAATAGTTTGAAAAAATAGCCGCGCATTGGTGCGCACATGCTGTTACGTTCGCTCTCGGGAGGCTGAGGCAGAGATTGCTTGAGCCAGGGTTTGAGGTTGGGCTTGTGAGCTAGCTGACGCATTGGCCACTCCACTTGCTTAGCCTGCGGCAAAACAACAAAGCGAGAACTCTGTTCACAAAAAAAAAAAAAGTTTTTTGGTATTTTTGCAGTCCACCGTAGGCTCACCCTGTACCCTCCACTCTACAAAGGCCACGCGCCGGATGTTTTGAGCTTCGGAGTTTGAGCCAGCCTGGGCAAGAGGTGAGCCCATCTCTTATAAAAGAAGAAATAATTGGCCAAACTTATATTATGGAAAAATTAAGCAGGGATGGTGGCGCATGCCTTGCTAGTCCCAGGGCTACTCGGGCGCGCTGCAGGCAGCGGAGGATTGTTTTGCAGCCCGGAGTTTGGGTTGCTGTCGCGGCTAGCACTGACAAACGCAACTCTAGCCTGGATTAGAGGTGGGCTCTGTCTCAAAAACAAAAGGATGCTGTCTGGCGATCAAGCTGTAAGGCTCAAGGTCAGAGCGTCAGGGAAGGGAGGAAGAGCCGCGAGCTGGATGGGGCTGCGGAGCAAGGGAAGGCTTAGGGCGAGCGAGGGAGGTAGAGCCCTGCGGCTACGCTGAGAACAGTGTTGGAGCGGACGTGATGTCCGTTCAGCCACAAGACGATGAGACTGGCTTTGCTTAGCTATAGCGCGTTCACGTGCTTTGGACTAGCGGCTTTTGAAGTGGCAAGGAGGTTGTGCGGGGACACAGCGCTTTTTATATGGGGTTAGGTGGAGATGTAGCATAAGAGTGGGGGGACGCTCTTTTGAGGGAGTTTTTTGCTTTACGTTTTGTTTTCAGAGATGGGGTCTCACTTTGTTCCCCAGAGCTGAAGTGCAGTGGTGCTATCATAGCTCACAGCCAGTCTTTTGCCATCTCCTGGGTCAAGCAGTGATCCTTTTTCCTGCCTCGAGCCTCCCTTCATAGCTGGGGCTACATGCCTGGTACATTTTAAAAAACTTTTTTTTCCTGCTCTAAAGGCCGATATTAGTTTGTGACAATTATTATTATTATTGATTTTTTGAGACAGAGTCTCACTTTGTTGCCCAGGCTAGGTGAGTGTCGTGGCATCAGCCTACGCTCAGCAAACTCAACTCCTGGGCCTCAAGCAATTCTCTGCCTAGCCTCCTGGTAGCTGGGACTACAGGCATGCACCACCTGCCGGCTATTTTTTGTGATATATTTTTTGTTTGGTCAATTACTTTTTTTCTATTTTTAGTGAGACGGGGTCTCCCTCAGGTTGGTTTTGAACTCCTGAGCTGCGAATTCGCCCACCTCGGCGCCTCTGTAGCGAGAGCTAGGCATTTACATGTGTGAGCCACCACGGCCCAGCCGAAAATTATTTTTTATAGACATGGAGTCTTACTATGTTGCTCAGGCTGGTTTCAAACTCCTGGCCTCCAGCAATCCTCCTGCCTTGGTCTCCCAAAGTGCTGGGATTACAAGTGAGCCACCACGCCCAGCCCAGGCACAGGGCAAAGAATGGGGGCAAAGAAATGGGAGGTTGGAGGATTCCAAAAAGAGTTTGTAAAAGGTGGAAGAGATCGCAGGCTGCTTGTGTGAGAATGACCAAGTAGAAGGACTAACAGGTTGCAGGAGAAAGGGAGGCTCTGCTGGAGCAGCACATCCTTGAGCAGCTAGCAACAGCCCCATGCAGAGCTAGAGTCACTGGCCTTGGCTCAGAGCTCAGACTCCATCCCAGATAGCATGAGGAATGGTGGGTCTTGGGCCCAGATGCAGGCAGGTGGGAGCTAATGGAGACATCTGTTCCGATTGCATCTGTTTTGTCTTTGAATGAAGCAACTGAGAATGAGGAGGGGAAGAGGGTGATAGAGTTTTAAGGAGCGAGAAGAAAGCAAGCAAAACATTCATCTAGGAGAGTGGGAAGCAGCTGACCTGGGGAGATGGGATATGGCCCTCATGCAGTTAGAGGCCCTGACTTGGAGTGAGAGCAGCCCTTGAGTGGGGAGGTGTAAATGAGCCAGAGTAAACCACAGGCGTCTGAAATCTCAGCAGGTTGGTGATCAGGAAGAGTCTCTCTGAGCAAGCGGCTTGTAGACTGGGACCTAAATGGTGAGAAGGAGTCAACCATGAGAGGAATGGGGAAATACACTCCCAGCAGAGGAAACTGTTCCAGGAACTAGAAGAGAAGCGCTGTCTCTTTCAGTGGGGTTTTCATGTCAGCAGAATCATAAGGCAAAAGGCAGAATGACTCTCACGGTAGAATTTCAGACAACAGCTGATCGGGAGGTTTGCAAGCACCGGCTTTGTGGGCTCTGGTCCCCAGCGACAGCCATGTTTCACCATACTTATGTTTCCAGATGGGAGTGACTGTCGTGGACGCTTCTGTGGCAGGACTTGGAGGCTGTCCCTATGCACAGGGGGCATCAGGAAACTTGGCCACGGAAGACCTCGTCTACATGCTAGCAGGCCTGGGCATTCACACGGTAGGCCTGCCTGCCCCCTGGTGGTCACAGCCTTGAACTGACCAGGGCTCGGCCTGAAGCCGGAGGACAGAAGCTTGGGTTGTTGGGGTGGTAGAGGGGAGGGTTGCAGGGAGATTATGGATATTTATCTAATGTTTTTGAGGTAGCATAGTATGGTTGAATGGGGCCACGAGCACGGGCACAAGAAGGCAGTGTGACTTTGGCAGTATGACTCCGGCAGTTCAGTTCTAGTAAGCACCAGAGAGCCCTGGCGGGTCAGGTTCATGACCTGAAATGTGTCAGTCCCTTCTGGGCCTTTGTTTTGTTCTCTGTAAAATGAGGGCAGCAGACTTAGCCCACCAGGGCTGTCCCAGAATCCATAAGGCCCTCAGTGGCGGGGTGGAAGCAGTGTTGCATCTGTGCCTGGGATCAGATAGAACTGAGTTTAATACCTAGTCTTGCCACTAGGCTGTGTGATCTCAGAAAAATTATTTCACCTCCCTGGGAATTATAATAGCACCTATCTCATAGGACTGTCGTTCGGATTAAGTAAGAAAACGTACAATGCTTAGCACAGAGCTGAGCACACAGGACACATTGGCAAATCTGAGCCATTGTTACAAACAGAGGTTTCCTGCCTGCCCTTTCAGTCAGAATTTTTCTTCCTGTCTCGCTGCTTCACAGTCCTCACTTGAATATGTAGTTTTCGACCTCTGTAGGACAGGCCCGTGCTAGACCCTGGAGGTGCAGTCCTGAACAAGACTCATGAGATCCCTGTCCTGGAGGTGGCACTGCAAACCATCACACAGATTGAGGCATCTTATACGGGGGGAGTCAGAGGGTAGCCCTAGATGTCAGAGGGACACGAGCTCACAGGCAGCTGGTGGGCCGCTGTCAGGGGAAAGAGCCTGTTTGTCTTCACTTTTCTTTGTTCAGTATCACAGCTGTCTGTTCTGTGTGTTGTTCTCCTGGTGTTGAGAGCATGTCATGACTTTGTGCATCCTCTAACTTGTTTCCTGAAGGGTGTGAACATCCAGAAGCTCCTGGAAGCTGGGGACTTCATCTGTCAAGCCCTGAACAGAAAAAGCAGCTCCAAAGTGGCCCAGGCTAGCTGTAAACTCTGAGCCCCTTGCCCCCCTGAAGCCCTGGGGACTAGGAGCACACACACATGATTCTTGGAGGATGGGGACTGGGAAATTAGAAAGATTAAAAGAAGCAGGCACCCCGCAGCCAGCTCTGCCCAGAGGTCTCTGCTGGCAGAAGGGAGGCAAGGGGTCAGAGGAGTCAGTATAATGAGAGGCCTTGGGGGCTGAACCCTCCCTTCACCGTGGATCTGACAGCCCAGCAGTTGAATGCTTGCGGGCACTTGGGAACCCCGTTCCCAGCAGGGCATGATCCTCAAGGCTCCTCTCTAGATGAAATCTGCCAGCTGGCTACCCTATATGAGGGGCCTCCAACCTATGGTGAGTTGTATAATTATTTCATTATGTATTACAATGTAATAATAGGAATAAAATTCACAATAAATGTAATGCGCTGGAATCATCCCCAAACCATCGTCCCCCTCCCTGGTCAGTGGAAGAATTGTCTCCCATGAAAATGGTCCCTGGTGCCAAAAAGATTGGGGACTGCTGCTCTATACCACTTACCCTGCCATGGCCTTGAGGCCATTGCTCTCTGACCTCTTAGGGTAAATGACACGAAAGAGATTTTCCCCAAGCTGACAGAGGCCATGTGCAGAAAGAGGGAAGGGTTGGGTTTCTGTGGTGGCTATCTGCCAACCCCAGCATCTCTGCAAAATCTGAACTCAATGTGATTTTTGAAAACAGCTTGTGTAAATAAAGGTTTTATGACACAGAACCATTCTGGTATTCTGTTGTGCAGATGTGTGCATATGTGGCAGTGGAGGAATAAATATCTTTACAGCGTTGCACACCGAGAAGACAAACTTTGAACTAGTTTGTTACTCACTGAATTTCCTCCATTTGCCCACCAGAGCCCCAAATCCACAGTGATTGCAAATCAATGGCTTTGGGCTAACTCAGAAGGCTGCCTGCAGTGGTTGCTGGCCAGCACACCCGAGGGCTTGTTTCTGTGGCTTTGCCTCTGTGACCAGGGCTGCTGCACAGGCTCCCCTGAGGGCAGCAGCACTACTTGCTCCTCCAGGCTTCTCCAGCTCAGTGACCCAGGCCCGCAGGGCAGGCTCAGGACACCACACCCCCCGGCGGTGGGGAACACCTGTGCACTTATGCATTTATGGTTGCTTTGTTCAGATTTCATCACTCAGCATGTCATGGCTTCCTGGGCATCATGCCTTAGCCCTGTCTTTTATTGTAAACAGAAGCAAAATCATTTTCTAACCGCTGTTATGGCAGGCTGGGTGCAAACCATTCCCAGCAGGTGAGGGCCACAGTTTGGGAGGGCTGAGAGCAGTTGGCACTGGGATGGCTATTGTGACTTCAGAGGTTCCTGGTCCAGCTCCGTGGTTTATTTTCACACTAGACTTGCTAGAACCACAGTCCCCTGGCGGCCTCTACCAATTCCCTTCACTCAGCGCAGCCCTCTGGGCTTTAGATCCGTGGGGTCGGATTTTTTTTTTTTTTTTTTTGAGACAGTCTTGCTCTGTCGCTTGGGCTAGAGGAACTCCTGGGCTCAAGCAATCCTCCTGCCTCAGCCTCCAGAATAGCTGGGACTACAGGCATGCGCCACCATGCCCCGCTAATTTTTTTCTATTTTCAGTAGAGACAGGGTCTCCCTCTTGCTCAGGCTGGTCTCAAACTCGCTCAAGCGATCGTCCTGCCTTGGCCTCCCAGAGTGCTAGAATTACAGGCGTGAGCCACCGCGCCCGGCAGGAGTCGGATATTTCATGCAAGAGTTTGAATTAAGGGTTTGGGAGATACCGGAAAGTTTGAAAACCTGGGGGTTAGAAGCGACCCGGTGCGCCCCGCTCCCAGCACCCAGCACGTGGGCGGGGCCCGCAGCTTTCCTCAGTTCCCCGCCTCTTCGTGGTGGCACCGCCCACTTCCGCCCTCTATGGGAGAACTCGGCGCAATGGTATCAACACCGCAGAGGTCTTTTGTCCTCCCGGCGTCACCGTAGTGGCCGCAATCCAAGTGACACGTTTCCTTGGGGGCGGGGAGGGGGCGGGATCAGGTTGGGCCGTCTGCTCTTAAAGGGACCGCCTCTCGGGGCGCGGGAGGCGGCGCCGCTGGAGCCAGCGCGGGGCGCGGGAGCCTGAGCAGGTTCGGGACGAGTGGCCAGGTGGGCTCGGGAGGAGCCGGGTGGTCCGCGGGGAGCGGGGGAGTTTAAGGAGGGCCCAGCTGCCCTGCGGGCAGAGTCGCGCCGGGCGGGCCCGCCCCCTCTCCCCAGTTCCCCGCTGCCGTGGCTGGGGCCGCCCGAGTTCATTCATTCCCGGTCTGCAGACTCCGCGCTCGGCGCCCTTCGGCGCGACGGCCCAAAGCCCAGCCCAGGGCCAAGCTGCCCTCTCCTCTGTCACACAGACTGGGGAAACTGAGGAAGCGACAGCTGAGCAAGGTCACTCCGCGGGTCCGGAGCGAAGCAGCCTTCCTGCCCCCCACGGCCTGTCCGCGACCACCTTCCCGGGTCCGCACAGTGCGCGGGCTCTGCGGCCGGCCGGGGTGGGGGCGGTGTCGGGGCAGAGTCCAGCAGGGAGCGGTGGGGGGAAGGGCGAAGTGCCCGGAGGCAGGCCGGGCTGCCAGGCGGGAGATCCGGATTCCACCAGGCTATCGCTAGCTGTGTGCCCGCAAGCAAATGCTTCACCGCGGACCCTAGTATCTTTCTCTGTAAAGTGCCAGTAATGACACCTGCCTCGAGATGCTGGGGAATTCTGGAAAATAAGGCAGGGGTGCCCGGGACAGAGCTTGGCACGCAGCGGGCGCTCAGTCGAGTGGGTTGGAGCTGGAGGGGCCCAGAGGGGATGGAGGCAGCCCGGAGGAAGCGGCAGCGGGCCAGGTCTCTGGGAATGAAAGGCCTCAGTGTCTGCGGCGTCCGCCCCGCCCCCTCTGCCCGCGGAGTTGTTTAGGGCGGACGTGCACACCTGGCCAAGTCCACGTCTACACCGGCCGACCAGGGTGGTGTAAAGTTGGGTGGAATCCCTAGCTCTGAGCCAGGAGTGGCCAGGAGTGACCAGCTGGTGCTGGCATGGGCTGAGGCTCAGCCGGGGGCGAGATGGGGTGGGGCCCACTTCAGGACTGTGGTGCTGGAGCCCCGGAGCTGAGCTTGGCCGCCTGGCAAAGGACCCCACCCTTGGGGCCATCTGGATATTTCCTGCTTCCTCCCAGCTGACCCTTGAGGGAAGTGGGGGGCTGTGTAGAGCAAAGAGGTGTTAGTCACTGAGGGCAGGAGCTGGTTTACACCTAGTGGTGCTGGAGGCACTGGGGAGGCCTGAGTTTGAGCCGGCAAAGCCCCTTCTGGGGCCCTCGAGCCCAGTCCTGCTGCCCTGTTTCCTTCTGCCCAGGACTCTCCCGTCCCCAGTCACCTTGGGGAAGGGAGTGTGGATCCTAAGATTCCACCTTCCCAACTCTGGGTCAATAGGAACTAGAAAATATGTTGCCTGTGCCCCAGTCTCCCCACCTGTACATGTGGCAGCCCTTAAAGTCACCTCATTTAACCCTCACACTACCACATGATGTTTGGACAATTATTAGCTCCATTTTAGAGATGGAAACTGAGACCAAGAGGGGGTAGTAGGGTGGTGATGTCAGTAGCCTAAGGCCAGAAAGTGATGGTACCCAGACTTGACCCAGTGCTAACTCCAGAGCTACCTGTTGCTTAGAGCACACTGCCACCTCCAAGGTGAGCTCAGGGGGCCAGATTCCGGAAGGGAAGGGGACCCTGAGCAGGCAGCCTCAACTACGTCTGAGAATCTGTGTCCTGGGCACAGGGGCCATGGCAGAGAAGGTGCTGGTAACGGGCGGGGCTGGCTACATCGGCAGCCACACAGTGCTCGAGCTGCTGGAGGCTGGCTATGCACCTGTGGTCATCGACAATTTCCACAATGCCTTCCGTGGTGAGCAGTGGCAGTGGGGGTGGGGCTTCTGGAGGGGGTGGCAGAAGGAACACCCTGGGTTCTACCTCCACACTGAGGGTGTGTGTGCCTGGCTAGTCCCTGGGGACCCAGCACCCCATCTTCCTGACTTTGGTGGCCCCCGTGTGCACCACCAGGAGGGGGCTCTATGCCTGAGAGCCTTCGCCGGGTACAGGAGCTGACAGGCCGTTCTGTGGAGTTTAAGGAGATGGACATCTTGGACCAGACAGCCCTACAGTGTCTCTTCAGAGAGGTGGGTGCCTGGCAGGCAGAGAGGCAGGGGGCACTGCCAAGGGCTAAGGCCAGTAAAGCCTCTGACCCCAGCTTTGTCACTGCAGCACAGCTTTATGGCAGTCATCCACTTTGCGGGGCTCAAGGCTGTGGGCGAATCGGTGCAAAAGCCTCTGGATTATTACAGAGTTAACCTGACCGGGACCATCCAGCTTCTGGAGGTGAGAGGCATGGGGCAGGGACACAGATACTGGGAAGGTGCCTAGTTGGCCCCAGTCTGGCAGGCAGTGTGAAACAGAGCCCAAGCTGTGTCATCTTGGACACAGGGCTCTACCTCCCAGCCTCAGTTTCCCCATCTGTAAAGGAGGGTGCTCTTTAGCTCAGCCCCACCCTCCTGTGAAGGAGTAACAGTGTGACAGGTGGGAACCTGTGAGGCAGAGGCCACTGACACCTCCCCTCCACGGCCAGACCATGAGAGCCTGTGGGGTGAAGAACCTCGTGTTCAGCAGCTCTGCTACTGTGTACGGGAACCCCCAGTACCTGCCCCTGGATGAGGCCCACCCTACGGGGGGCTGTACCAACCCTTACGGCAAGTCCAAGTTCTTCATTGAGGAAATGATCCGGGACCTGTGCCAGGCAGACAAGGTGAGTGCCCCCTTGACCCAGCCCCCACTCTGCTCATTGACTGGTCGACTGACTCCTCACAGCCTCCCTCCCCCGTGAGCCTGAGGAGGGCATTCTGAACACCCCCTCCAAGGAGGAAACTAAGCCTCAGGAAGTTGCAGTGACTTGCCCAAGGTCTCAACACTGGCAGCAAGGGCCCCAGCCCCTTATCATTTCTAGAGAGAGAGAACAGGCATGGGGGTGAGGTAGAGGGCTCTGCATTCAGCTGCCTGCGTCCCTGCCCCCCCACCATCTGATCTGCACCCCACAGGCCTGGAATGCAGTGCTGCTGCGCTATTTCAACCCCACGGGCGCCCACGCCTCTGGCTGCATCGGTGAGGACCCCCAGGGCATCCCCAACAACCTCATGCCTTATGTCTCCCAGGTAAGGGAAAAGGGTAGGGACAGAGGGGGTGGCCCTAGGGTTACAGCTGGTGTCGGGGACCTGGGAGGAGCTGACCTCACCTCCACCTCTAGGTGGCGATTGGGCGGCGGGAGGCCCTGAATGTCTTTGGCAATGACTATGACACAGAGGATGGCACAGGTGAGCCTAGGACCAGGAGGACCCAGGAGTGGGAGCCAGGAGGGAGACAGAGGTGGAACAAACTTCCCACCCAACCCCACTCTGTCCTGCAGGCGTCCGGGATTACATCCACGTGGTGGATCTGGCCAAAGGCCACATCGCAGCTTTGAGGAAGCTGAAGGAGCAGTGTGGCTGCCGGGTAGGCAGAGAAGGGAGAAGCGAGGGTGGGGAGGGGCTGCATCTGACAGATGGGCCCCTTCCACAAAGCCTGTTCTCTCCTGGGCAGATCTACAACCTGGGCACTGGCACAGGCTACTCAGTGCTGCAGATGGTCCGAGCCATGGAGAAGGCCTCTGGGAAGAAGGTAGGCCAGCCACCCACCCCACCTGACGCTCAGCAGCAGTAGAGCCCTGGCCCTTCCCCCTCACCTGCCCAATGGTCACCCCAGCATTGCCCAGTCTCCTCGGCCCAGCTAGCATCCCGGTGCCGGGTGCCCGTGAGCAAGACTTCTGCACTTCTGCTGCTTGAGGACTGGCTTGCAGCTGGACAGGTGGGGCTCAGGGCCAGCTCAGCTGAGCCACACAACCTCCCCTTGCAGATCCCGTACAAGGTGGTGGCACGGCGGGAAGGTGATGTGGCTGCCTGTTACGCCAACCCCAGCCTGGCCCACGAGGAGCTGGGCTGGACAGCGGCCTTAGGGCTGGACAGGATGTGTGAGTGCCGCCTGACCCCAAGGAGAGAGGGGCTGATCAGATCTGGGCCTGCCCACCCAGGGCTGCCTGAGAGGTCGGGGGAGGCCCTGCATTCCAGTGTGGACCTGACCACACACCTTGCTCTGTCACAGGTGAAGATCTATGGCGCTGGCAGAAGCAGAATCCTTCAGGCTTTAGCACACAGGCCTGAAGACCTGTCCCAACCATGGACCAGAAAAGGAAAAGAGAAGCAGCTGCCTGCTCTCCAGCCTCCAGCAGGACCCAGCATCCAGAGCTTCTGGGCCAAGTCAAGGCCTCCCCTACCTCAAACCCTGGCTGGGCCCACGCAGCCCACCAGGCATGAGGCCAAGGGCTCCACTGACCAGGAGTCAGGGGTCTCTAACTCACCTTCCACAGGGTCTGGGAACTCATCGGGACCACCAAGAGCGAGTGTGAGGGGTCAGGGCTCTTCCACAAAAGCCCCCTCCTCTCAGGCACTAATTTATACTACTCTGAAGAAGCTTTCCAAAGTATTTAAAATAAAAAAGTTTTCTTACATTGGGGAAGATTCTTGAAGATGGTAGCTCTCTACCCTCTGGATATAATCAGCCAGGCCTGAGAGTTGAGGAAGCAATTAATTTCTTTAATTTTATCGGAATCCCGGATACAACAAGAAAAACACCCAAAACCACATGGAGACAGAAGACGAGACACAACTCCTCCCCCACCACCTCCCTGCCCTAGAGTGGGGATGAAGTGGGGGTGAGACAGCTGGGGGAGACGTTGAGCCTCAGTCCAGCCCTGCAGGCTCCAGGCCTGCAGGGAGGAGGGTAATGGGGAGGCAGGGCCCAGCCCCCAAGTGGGGGGAACAGCTGAGGGAAGGCCCCCTCGAAAGACTCCACCTCCTCGCCAGCACTCCTGCCCAGGGCAGGGAGCCCGCAGCAGCAAGGGGGCCCCAGGGCCATGGCCACATTCATGATTGAGAAGCAGCTAGAGTGGAGGCAGAGAGACACACGATTATCTGGGCAGAATCCGTTGGGGTGGGGGCCTGGGAGGGCCCCATGGGCCAAACCCTGAGGTCACAGGAGGGGGCCCAAAGTGGGGCTCGTGAGTGAGGTCCTGAGTGAGTGGGTCAGTGGCTGGGCCCCTTTCTCCAGCTGCCTACAGCCCCTTCAGTACTGCCGCCAGGGGCGCCTGCCTCCAGGGAAATGGGATAAGCAAGCAGCCCACCCCTGCTGCAGACAGGGCCAGGAGGCTGAGGCCAGGAAGAAAGGCCTGGCAGGTCTTGCCATCTGCCCCAGAGGCCTGTGGGATGAGGGCGGAGTGAGGAAGGGTGGGGACAGGGGCTCGACCGGCTCAGATCCAAGATGGTGCCACGCTTGCTTGCTGGGTCCCCCATGAGCTGGGGGACTGTGCTGGAGGCCAGCAACTCTGGTTAGACAGGAGGTAGCAGCTTCTCAAGAAATTCCTTCACAGCTGCCATCTCCTGTGGGGAGCAAAGGGGGATCGTGAGAGGCCCCTGGCTGGAGAGAGGACGGAGAAAGGACATGGGTGGGTGTGGCCCCCCCCCACTGACCTGAGGACAGGAGCTGTGCATGACACCTGGATACGTCTTGAACTGGACCCTGGCAGGTGTGACAACGGACCGGAGCTTCTCAGCTGTCAGGGCCCCAAACCGTACAGGCACCATGGGGTCCAGCTCCCCATGGCACTGAAGGATGGCCAGGTCCTTGGCACTACCATTGGCTGCCTGTGGGCCAGACAGGACCCGGAGGGCAAAGCCAGTGTTGCAGTTCAATCTCCAAGCCACAGGAGACCCAAAGGGCAGGAAGGGTTCTGTGGGGACACGCACCTGAGGGAAGGCCCGGTGCAGAGGCAGCCAACAGCTCAATGCCACAATGCCAGCCAGAGGGTGGGGGCAGGTGAGGGCTGTGTAGAGGGACAACGCCCCACCCTGGAGCAAGGAGAGAATGAGAGGTCATCAGGGCACAGCTCACCTTCCCAGCCCCACCCCCTCTCTCCCCTCACCTGTGAAAAGCCTCCCAGGACGATGCGATTGGCAGGGATCCCATTCTTCATCTCGTGCTCAATCAAGGCCTTGACTGGGGGAGGGGGTCAGTGGGTGGGGAGAAGCTGCTGAGGGGCCCAGAAAGGAAGCCTGGCAGAGGCACTGCCAGTGCTTTCCTGGGGGGCGGGACAGGGAGGATGCTGAGGGGAGCTGGGGCCTTACTGTTCTCTGCTGCCTTCTTGATGCCAGCCTCATCCTCTGGGGCATCTGGACTCAGCCCCATCAGGTCAAACCTAGGGAAGCAGAGGTGTTGGCAGCTACTGGAAGACCTCGACCAGCCCCCTGCAGCTCCCTCGGCTCCAATCCCATCAGCACCACCCCCAAACTCACCAGGAGGGCATCACCATCTTCATGTTGAGTGTGACAGGGATCCTAGGCCTGGGGAGGGACAGCCAGAGGGCCATGATGCTCAGGAGGGATGAGAAAGCCACAGCAGAGAGCCCAGCACAAGCAAAGACAGCCCCTGGGGGGCCCCTCCCAGCAGGCAGGGCCTGTGTTTAAGGTGTTGCCAGGCAACCTGCCACGTGGGGCTGGAGCCTGTGGTTGAGGCACTAGGAAGGAGAAGCAGAGCCCAGCACTCGGCGTGACGGGGTCCCAGCAGCCGGTGAGTGCTTGGGGAAGGGGCACAGGGAGGTGCTGGTTTTAGGAGACCTCAGGTCTAGGAAGCCCTAGGGCTGGGGGCTGGTGCTGGGCCCCATGCCTGGGGGTGCCGTAGGAGCTGAGGCTGAAAATGGCACTTCTGTCTGCCCTAAGCCCCAGCCCCAGGATGCAGCTGACAGGGGAGAACAGGCTCAGTCAGGGCCACAGGACCACCCGCTGGCTGATCTCCAGCCTCAGCCCCTCCCTTGCTGGGGTGACACTCACGCATGGGGACAGATGTACTTGACGTGAGGGAGCCGGATGGTGGAGAGGGCGTCAGCCCAGCTGTGCCTGTAGGAGGGAAGGGAGAAAGGGACGGATGTAGGAAGAGAAAGGGAGGGCGGCAGCCTCTCCAGCCCTGCCTGCTGGGCTCGGCGCCCTCCCCGAGGAGCAGCCCTCCCGGCTCACTCACCCTGTGTCTCCAAGTCCATGTAAAAAAATAACCTGGAAAAGGACGAGAAATGGGGAGATGGGGAGGTTCCCCCAGGTCCTGAACTTCTGCCCACCCCTTCCCAATGCCCAAAGACCTGGCAGGACCAAAGCAGCAGCCAAACAGGTTATGAACCCCCGAGGGAGCTTCCTGGCCTCCGGCTACTCCCTTCTCATCACTGCCACCTCCATTTTCCCACACCCCCTCCACACCGGGTGAGCCCTGGTGGCTGCCACGGGTAAAAGGGGATCCTTACCGCAGCCGTTTCCCGCTCAGCTCCAGACACAGTGGCAGCATCGGTGAGCAGGGGCACAGACATGGTGTTACCACACATACACCGCAGGGCTCCACGGCGGGGGCCTGCACCATGGGGGAAGCGGTCAAGAGCAAGGCTAGGCAGAGGATAGACTCCTGGCTCAAAGACCCCTCCCACACCATCAGCCCCAACACAGCACCCAGATTCCGTCCCGGGCACAAAGAGAAGTAGGCAAGAAGTCTCCGGGCAGAGGGGTAGGAAGTTTGCCTCCACACCAGGGCTGAAAGGCAGAGGCAGCCACCCTAGTGGCCCACAACTCATGTCCCTGAGCTTGCTGGAGATAGGCAGAGGCAGGACTTGGGGGCTTGGAGCTGTGGGGTGTCCCTGTGGCCTGCCTGCTGTCTCCTCAACAGCTACCTGCCTCCTCCCTGCTCTCCAATCAGCCCTTCTCTAGAGTCCTTGGGTCCTGTCCTCCCCAACTTCTGGCGCTACTGGGAAATGAAGGGGAGAAAAATGACAAGGAAATATGCTTCTAGTCCCTACTCCCCCCCATATCCCCAAATCTCCAACCTCCCTCCTCCCATCCAACCCCCATCCAACCTGCACAGCAGTATCTGGCTCAGCCATTCTCACAGCCCCTGGGGGCTGCCCATGTCCCCAGGAAGCATAACAACTCCTGTCCACCACCTACTCCAACCTGGTGCCCCTCCCAAAGAGCTACCTGCTGCTGCCACCACTGACTCCAAATGGGCCCCCAGCTGACCACACTCTGGGACTCCCAAACACAAAAGAATGTCAGGCTGGCTGGCCCCTCCCCTTCCTTAGCATCCTCCAAACTCCCCGGAAGCTTCCACTACCTGCCTCTAAGTGCCTGCCCTTCCCACCGGCGCCCACTCCTCCCAACTGGCTTCCACCTTCTATCTCAGGTGTCCCTGAGGCACCTCCCACGGTGGGATCTTTCACCCCTGACTCTGGGGTCCCTCTTCCCACTGGGGAATGCGCCTCCCGCCCTCAGCTGGGATTCCCTTCCTTCTCCACTGTGTGGACTTCCACCTCTCAGCGGGGTGCCTTCCCCCTTGGCCTAGTGTCTCCCTCCCCACACTTAGAACTTCCACCCTGACCCAGGGTCTCCCACTCCCCACAATGGGAACTTCTGTTCTGACCAAGGGTCATCCCCTCCCCACAGTGACATTTTCTACCCTGACCCAGTACTCACACCTGCCCACAAAGGGGCTCTCTACCTCTGACCCTGGGGAAGCTCCTGCCCCACAGTGGGATCTTCCACTTCTGACCCCAAAGTCCCTCTCATCATACCCGGGCACTCCCTTGCCTAGCCCCGCCCCACTCCCAAAGTCCCCAAGACTGGACAGCGCCTTCGCACCTCACTCCCCGCCCCCATTCTTCACAATCGCGTCTCCCCTCCCCACTTCCCAGACCCTCCCAGCGCTCCGGCCTGCCCCACATCCCCTCTGTCCGCCGCCTGGCCCTAGCCCAGGGTACCTCCACTTCCTGGGGCTCTCGACACCGCTCGGGCGAGTCTCCTCTTTCTCCCGCACAGAGACACACTCTTCCCCCTCGGCCGCCCCCGCCGGAACTTCCGTTCGAGTCCCGGGAACCCAGCCATCGCGCTGCCGGAAGTAGCCTGGCCAGCGATACGGAACCCGGAAGTGGGGACACGGCTTCGCTGAATGGAAGCTGCCATGTTGGACACGGTGGGGCCACTCCCTGTCATTCAGCCGCGGAATCGGAGAGTTCTTACCCGCTCCCACCTGCAGAATCTAGACTGCCACTTGCTACCACCACCCGTGCGCCTCCTGGAGGAAAGCTGTCTGGAAGGAGAGGCATCCCTCATACTATTATTGGCATAAAGTTTACCACCTTCTCATCCCCGTGGGACACACTTCCTATGGCCTTGGATATCCGTCGCTGGTTTTAATGCCCTATTCCAGGATCATGAATGGAATCATACACCCTAAACTGAAAAGACCTTAGAGATCATCTAGTCCTCCAGTCTTCTTAAAGATGAGGAAACTGAGGCTCGGATAAGGGAAGTATAAATAAACAGCAACCTCAGATTACACTGTAATGCTGCCCCTCTGGACCTGCTTCCTTAAGCTATAAAACGGTAATAACCACTACCCTGCCTACTTCACAGCTTTGCTGGTAGCGTCAAATGAGGTCGTGTGAACATGCCTTATACACTGTAAAATCACAGCGTGAGGCCTTAATCACTTTGAAAATGACCCTGAGAATATATGCAGGCCCTATCAGGATAGCTGGACAGATACTGGCTGGGTTGTTAGCACTGCCCTCCAAGGCAATGCCATGCAGACAGTGCACAAAATGCCACCATCAAATGAGCTCCATCACATAAGAACAAAAAGGGCTTCATTTGGTCATCATTGAGTCACCTTTGCTCCTTGCTGCACTGGTAAACTGGAACTAGGGCTTAGGGACCACAGAAAGGCTGGAAGGGAGGCTAACTTGAGTTGAAGGAGCAAGTCCCTGAGAGAACATGTGGGGATCTGCACACAGGAAATGCACACATTTGTCTCTCAAGCTTAGGATTCATTCTCTCAGTTTAACGCATACTAGTTTTTTTCTAAACCCATTTCACTGTACTACATATTTCTTTAAACTGAAGGAACACAGTACAAACTTGGTAGCAACAAAGCACTTTTCCCTAGGCCTAAAATATCAGGATTCTGGGCAGGAAAACTTTGGGCCCAGGGTGCCACAGCAAGCCAAGGACTCAGGACTGGATGTCAAAAGAGAAAGGAGATAAAAGTGTAAAACAATACATCTGCCCCCACTCCCAACAGAATCCCTGCTGAATCTGCTTATAGAAGAATGGGCAGTTCCTCCTGCATCCCAATCACCCAAGACTCTGCAGCACTTTCAGCAAATTCTTCAGAGTGAAGCTTCAAATTCAGAGGCTCGGTCCTGCCAGCTACCTGTGATTAGTGGAATTAATAAAAAGTCTACTCTAAGATTTCTAACTTTATTTTCCCTCCTACTCCAAATTAAAACATAGCCCTTCTTTTTTTTCCCCCAGCATATTATGAGGGTACAAATGTTAAGGTTACATTTATTGCCCTTGCCCCCATCATAGCCCTTCTTACATCTCCAAAATGATCCAACAGAAATAAAATAGGTTGTGGCTGAGTGAGTAGGACTCTTAGTGCGTCAAAAACTGTTTGCATTCTTGTTGACTTTTGATTTTTAGAAACTTTGAGCCCTGACAAGGTTTGGTAGTGGCAGATTTTTCCCAGGACAGGCTGGAGAAAGAGTGATTATATCCTTCTAACAGTAGTGTGGGCCAATCCCTCAGAGGAATTCTCTCAGAAGATCAGATTCAACACTAATTTCCTTTATCACTTATTCCTATTTTCTGCAAGGTAGAGGATACTGACCATCTCAAATCCTCTTTTTTGATACTTAAGTTATCTTCAATTGCTGCACTGACTTTCAAAATTTAAGTTGAGAGTCTTTGGTCCACCTTCAGACAGCATGTGCTGCTCACTTACTTTCCTCACCTTCATTTCTTCTGATGAACTCCAGAATCTGTCCTCCCTTATTTTTGCAAATGTCACTCCACAAATTACTTCCCTTTGTGAGAAATGGAAAGGTTTTTATATGTGGGTGTAGGAGTGTTTTTAACCTACTGTACAGAATTAAGCTTGGCCTTTCCAGGAGAAACTAACCTAATCTTGATTTAACTGTGGCATTTCTTAAGATCTACCTAGTCCAAAACAATTATAAAAAATTTCGAAGTTCAATACAATTCCCAGTAAAATGAAATTTTCATCAACACTATCAAGAACTCAAGAGAAAATATAAACATTAAGTCTGGCAAGGATTTATTAGGAAGCTTATTAGTCACAGTGAATAAAAGCCATGAAAAGAAGAACTCAGAGATCTCCAAATTCTGGCACTGGGCTCACAAAACTAGTTAGAAGCTAATAAACATTATGGAGGTTCCAAGGGGAATCTTAACTAAGCCTCAATCTTACCCCAACCAAGCTACCCACAAACACAGAAATGATTCCCATGCTCTCCCTAGATTGCTCAGCTAGGCAGACAGAAAGGAGACCTCCCCAAGCTATCACACATCAGAGCAAGAGACTCCTGCCCTTCTAGCTGTAACCATGGGACACCTATGTGTGACAGACAACTCCAAGCTAGGCAACTTGACAAGAATGCTGAATGATGACAGGGAAAAGGAGCAAGCAGGAACAAGTGTTTCTAGTTGGAGACCCTCCTGATGGCTAATACAAACACGATCCTGTGGCTTCAGAAAGTTCCTGCAGCCCAGAAATAGTTTCCATTTTGTTAAAAAACAAGTCACACAAAAATCCTGCCACAAAGCAACAAGACACTTGGAAGTCCATGGCCACATCGACTGGAAAAGCAAGCATTATCCATGACTGCCAGATGCCACCCGGCCCAAGCCCCGATTTCTGCAGTGCCCTAGAGAACCACGATTGTCCCTCAGTACCCACACAACCCTCCCAGTGGTGTGGTATCTTCCATAGGCCAGGTTTCTGCAGCAAGCCCCAAAGACAAAGCTTGACAGAGGTGGTGGCAGCCGACTCTCTCTGGAGCCTCGTCCCTTTGTTCTTCCCAACAGGTAGTTGTACATCTTCACTGACACAGCACCTCTGTGGGAGCCTTGGCCAGCACTTAGGAAATGAAGTGTGTCTGTGGGGTCACCTGATGGACCCTGTGGTCTGCTGGGTTGGCCGATGCTTCATAATTGCAGATGGTCACCTCATGTCGACGAAGCTGCAAGAAAATCAAGAGGCTGGGTCAGCTAGCCAATCAAAGAACTATCCTGTCCCAGACTACACACATTGCACTAGTGCTCATTCAGGTTCATTTCTAGAAATCATCATCTAATATCACCCCTCTTCTGGTATTTTTATCTTGAGAAGCCTACAAAGATCATTATCTACAATTCACCCTGCAAATCTAAAGATTCATTCCCCCTGTAATGGGGGAACCATGAGAACAGGAAAGAATGTCAAAAGTGTTGAATGAAGGAAAGAATTTGAAAGTGAAAAACTGAATTAATATAAACTACATAATTTCAATCTCCTTAAAAATACCTATAGTCTGTCAAATGAGACAGTTTACAGTGATGAAACCAAGAAAAATTATAAACAGACTGGGACCAACTTATATCTCACTTGCTCTTTTCCCTACCCTGAAAGCTGAGAGAGAGAGAGAGAGAGAGAGAGAGGGAAAGAGAGAAAGAGAGAAATGAGGGGACAGCCTTTCCAAACCCATCTTACCTCAGTCCATTCTCCTCTCAGGCCAATATAAAAGACCTTTGTGGTATCTGCTCCAAAGTTTTTTGAAATATGAATGGAGAGATGATACACATTTGAAAAACGAGAAATTCTAGAGGGTGAAAGCAATAGGGAGAGGAGACATAGGTTACATTTCAGTGAGTGTCCCACCACCATGAATTGTTTATTCAGCTCCAACTTGTGGTAAAACCCAGACAAATGTCAGAGAACACTCTTGGGTTCTTCCTTCTCACTCTTCTCCTTTGGACAAGCAATTAAGTCAATGAACATTTACTGAGCACCTGCCAGATTCTGTCAAGAAGTAGGGACGGACAGACAGATAAATAAACACTGCTCTTGCCCTCAAGGAACAGGAATGAGAAATGCTGCATAACCCAGCAGGGATTCCAAAGCACATTTAGTGTTGACCTTTTTCCCTTAGGAAAAAAGGAAAACTAGTGAAGAGATGAGGTGGTCCCATATAACTCAGCCTGCTGTAAGCTCACTATGCAAAGAGGAATTCTGAAAACATCTTTCCTAAGATCACCCTAGGAGCTCATTCAAATCTGCCAATTGCTTACAAGTTAACAAGTCTGTGTCTTCCACTGAATCTCTGCCAAAAATTGACCAAGCCAAGGATCAAACCTCCTCCACTGTTTAAAGTTGTTTCCAATACTAAAAGAAGACAGTAGGAGGGAGACTGGCCAAAAATAAATGGCAAGCCCTGTAAGCACCGATGTATACATGCTCTGTGCAAATGAGGGAGCATCTATGTTCCTCAGAAGCAGCCACAGAGACTGGAAGACAGGCCCCTGCTTACTTTGTGGCATACTCTAATTCTCCTGTAAGATCCCGATTCAGACTAAACGTCTGATCTGGCTCCCTTTCTGTATCATCAAAGGACATCTGTGGAATGTTCTTGTACCTGAGAAAGGAAAAGGAAAAACAGTTTTAAAAAATGTACACTATCATGCTTTTCAGCTTTTCAAAACTTCCTACTCACTGCTCAATTGCCTTTGGTTCTATCAAAAGGAGATTAAATTTGAGGGTCAAACTTTGGAAATGGCATTTTATTGGCATTTATATACAAATGTCTTTAATTACAACAAGAAAAGAGCTGAGATCTGCAACATAACGCCATGGCATCTTTGAGTGGGTTAAGATCACATGAGAAGCAATACACAAAGAGATGGCTCAAACTAGGTCACGTGCAGCAAATGCATGGAGAAAACAAGCAACTCAGCACATTCAGACCAAGCTGAGGATGTTATTAAATAAAACAGCTTACTCATGGTAAAAGAAATACATACTTTGGCAGAAACATGTTACACACGGATAAGAGTTAAGATCAGGTAACTCAGTGCTCAAGCATTTTTTGTGACCAAAAATTACCCCATAAACTCAGTACTTTTAAAGTTCTTAAAAAAAAAAAAAAACAAGGCCGAGCATGGTGGCTCACGCCTATAATCCTAGCACTTTGGGAGGCCGAGGCGGGCGGATTGCTCAAGGTCAGGAGTTCAAAACCAGCCTGAGCAAAAGCGAGACCCTGTCTCTACTAAAAATAGAAAGAAATTAATTGGCCAACTAAAAATATATAGAAAAAATTAGCCGGGCATGGTGGTGCAAGCCTATAATCCCAGCTACTTGGGAGGCTGAGGCAGGATTGCTTAAGCTCAGGAGTTTGAGGTTGCTGTGAGCTAGGCTGATGCCACAGCACTCTAGCCCAGGCAACAGAGTGAGACTCTGTCTCAAAAAAATAAAAAAATTCTCAAGGACTAAGCAGCATATCCCCACCAACTCCAAGGTGTTTTATTAACACACCCACATAGAAGGGGACTAGATATTAGCTGCAGCAAAATGCATATAATTTAAGAAAGCAAATATTTGCTTCAAAGGGTTTCTAAGAATGATGCACAGCAGATTAATAATAAGAGTGAACATTTATGGGCAGCATTATGAGAGGCAATATAGCACTGAGGTTAAAGGCAGTGTCTGGAGCTAGACTTCCTGGGTTTCAAGCCTGGCTCTCTGTCACTTACTTACTAGCTGTGTAAATTTGGGCAACTGATTTAACCTGTTTCCTCACCTGCAAAATGGGGTAGTGATAGTACATTCCATATAGTAGATGTGGAGATTAAATTGAATCAATTCTAAATGATGAACATATTTTGGAAAAGTTTTTACTATGGGAAATTTCACACATGAAAGCAGAGAGAATATAATGAATCTCCACATACTTATCATTCATCTTCAATTAACAATATTAAGAGTAATTCTTTAATACCAAGTCTGTTGAAACTTCCCTGACTCTCAATTTAACTTTTCTGGAGGTGTCTATGGCATGTTATACTTGAGTAGATAGCATTTTTTTCTTTATTAATTGTACAGAAAATAATGGTATATTTTACAATCGATGACATCTTAGATTCAATAATGTATAACAAATGTAGTATGCTTAGAACTGAGGGCTATATAAATATTTGTATCTGCTCATCCAAAATTGGGTACTTAACTATGTTCTAGACCTATTCTAATGTCTTTAACATGTTATATCTCATTTAAGTCTCTCTACAATCTTGTACATACCATAACCACCTTCCTTTCCTCTTTTCTTCCCTTCGTCTTGCTCTGTTGCCCAGGCTAGAGTGCCGTGGCATCAGCCTAGCTTGTAGCAACCTCAAACTCTTGGGCCTAAGCAATAATCCTGCCTTAGCCTCCTGGGTAGCTGGGACTATAGGTGCACACAACACCTGGCTAATTTTTCTCTTTTTAGTAGAGATGGGGTTTCGCTGTTGCTCAGGCTGGTCTCGAACTCCTGAGCTCAAGTGATCCTCCCGCATTGGCCTTCCAGAGTGCTAGGATTACAGGCGTGAGCCACCATGCCCAGCCCTATTCCCATTTTAGATGGGAGAAAATTGAAGTGTAGAGAAGATAAGGTAATGTCCCAAAGTCATGGAGTTAGCAAGTGGTACAGCCAAAATTTGAACCTTGTTTACTCCAGAGCTCATACTCTTAACCACAATGGAACATAGATGTCTAGTCTTCGGAAGTCAATCCATCATCTTCCAAGTAAATGAGTTTCCAAAAACATCAGATCAAAAGTACTATTTCCTTAAAATTAGTAAATATGTGGAATTGCTTTCAAATTCATGTTTCTAACATTCAAAAACAGTATCAATATTTTAAATATCTCTCAAAAATCCATTTAACTTTGCACTCGGATGTTGAGTGTGGATAATGTCAAGTGGATAATGAGAAAAAAGCAAGCGAGTGCAAAGGGTTAAATCTATTTTTTAGATGAGATTTTTTAATGTAGTTCTGATATTTGTTTCTGCAGCACTAAAAAAGCAGTTTTCCCCTCCTTTTAGGAAGGCTATCCTGGAATAAGTCATCAAAAAGAGAGTGCTAGCTCTCGTGGCAAAAGATCCAGTGTTGCAAGAGATATACAGAACTTTGCTAAAGGTTAAGCTCAAATGGAGTAATTCCATGTCAACAAAACACACGCAAAGATTATGAGTGTATGAAATAGCAAGGGGAAATTTTAGAAATTTTGAGGTTAACCCCAAGAGCATAATCCATAAAGATCATTTGAGATCTGCAGTTTTTTTTTTTTTTTTTGAAACAGGGTCCTCACTTTGTTGCCCAGGGTAGAGAGAGTGAGTCCCGTGGTGTCAGCCTAGCTCACAGCAACTTCAAACTCCTGGGCTCAAGCAATCCTCCTGCCTCAGCCTCCCAAGTAGCTGGGACTACAGGCATGCACCACCATGCCCGGCTAATTTTTTCTACATATATTAGTTGGCCAACTAATTTCTTTCTATTTATAGTAGAGATGGGGGTCTCGCTCTTGCTCAGGCTGGTTTCGAACTCCTGACCTTGAGCAATCTGCCCGCCTCAGCCTCCCAGAGAGCTAGGATTACAGGCGTGAGCCACCACGCCAGGCCTGCAGTTGGTTTTAAACTAAACTGCAAAGTCACCAACAAACGGCATTTACAAAATGCTCTCTGAATAAATGGTGCCCTAGTAAGCACTTTGAAAAAAAGAGACAAGCTGTTGATCCCCAAAATACTTAACCTAATAAAGTTATCAATTCAGGAAGAGATACATATATTCCGGTGCAGAAAGCGAACAAAACCAAAATACTTTAAAAGGGAAAATATTAAACCCAGTAAAAGGAAAAATAGCATTATTCTAGATTAAAGTGTAACTAGAAAAAGAGAATTAGGAGCTTTTTGAGGGCCCAAGCCCTTGCCACTTACAGTCTCATCTCAGAGGGGTGTGAGTCATCATCCTCTCCCATTATAATGATGCCTTTGAGCTTGACATTGCCCGTAAATCTGCCAGAATGTAAAAGAGAAGGTTGTCAAGCTGGGTTTAAATACCTGCTTAGCTGTGTCACCCTGGGCAAGACTCTTCCCTTTCCTGGCTTCAGTTTACTCGTCTGTCATACTTGTACTAGATAATTTCTAAGATCCTGTCTACCTCTGGCATTCTGCAATTCTAAGAAATTTGCCTCAATTTCTCAGTTACTGTTCAACAAATACATCTCTTTCCAGTCTGCACCAAGAAAGCTATGATGCTTTCCTCCTCAAACCCACCAAAGTAATTTACCCCATCTCTAGAAACAGATGTGTGCTCTTGACACAACCAATGAATGAATCCATCTGAGTAGGCAACTGGGTACAGCCTATTTAGCCTGAGACAGGCACCACGGAGATACTTACGGAATATTAAACAGAAGCTCTTCATCTGCATCACTTTCAACAAACTGGAGGGGATGGGGAGTGGGGAGGAGAAAGCAACAAATATTTGCTGAGAGCCTACAATTTCAGGCATCTCCCACCCTGTTCTACAATTGGTGTGCAATGCAAAAAGTAAATCTTCCTCGGTTCTCCAGGACTTATTAACTTGAAGATAATCAGTCTTATCCACAGTGTCCTAAGAGCCACAGATCATCCAATTAGAAGGTTCTTAATGAGGAGCCCATGGATGGATTTCCAGGGTGGAAGAGCCTCTTGAATTGTGAATTGAAAGACAGGTGCTTAAGTGGATTTTTCTGGGGAGAGGGTCCAGAACTTTCAAATGGTTAACATAAGGGCCTGTCGCCCCACAATGGTAAAGAACCTGCGTTCTAGATAGGAAATACCCTTTACCCCCTATGCTGGTCTTCACCCGGTGCTATGTATGATGAGGCAGCCATCGGAACCAATGGTCAAGTGGAAAGGAAAACGCCCTCACGACCATCCTCCCTCACTAACCCACATGGCACTAGAATAGAGCGTTAGGCTGTGTGAAGACAAATCGCCCCCTTTCCCTTTCTTGGCCTCAGTTTCCCCATATGCAAAATGGGGAGACTCAACCCTGCTCGCCTCCCAAAGGGCTGGCAGGAGACCGACACGGGAAAGTACATGGCGACTGAGCTGTCATTATTTTTAGCACCAGGAATGAGGCTGACTGAGCAGACGGACGGCCTGAGGGCCCAGGCAGATCCCTCCCTGCCCCCCGGGCGGCCCACCTTGGAGCGGTCGGCTCGCTCTTCCCACGGCTTGAAGACGCCGCGGCCGCTGCCCTCGCGGCTCTCGTTAAGGCATTGCAGCCGCTCCAGGTCGATGCGCAGGTACAGGCCGTAGGCCAGGCCGCGCTGCTCGGGCGGCTCCTCCCGTTCGGCGGCACAGCGGCAGCCGCCCCCGCCGTGGCTGTGGCCGTGCGACATGGCGACGCCACCGCCCGCGCCTCCCCTCGGCCCCGCCGCCGCCGCGCTCCCGCCGCTCCGCTCAGGCCGCCAAGCGCGCCGCGCCCGCCGCGTCGTAAAAGGCGCCCCTGTGCGGCGCATGCGCCTGGGGAGGAGGAGGGCGTGGCAGAAAGGATTGACGTCTGACGCGCGCCTTCCGGGTGTCAGAGTTAGTGTCGGCTGCCTCAGTCCTGGAGGTGGGTTCTCTCGCCGTCCCAGCTCCACAGATGTGGGAACCGAAGGGCAGAGAGGTTAAACTAGTGTCCCGAGTGAGCGGTCGACCTGGGGTTCGAATCCTCTTTCCCTGAGGTTCAAGCCTGTGCTCTCTTCCTGGACCAGCGCGTTTCTTTAGGAGCTGATGGAGGAAAGCGCGCGGAACAATAAGGCCTTGGAGGCTGGAGAACACATCCTTATCACCGCCTCACACGCCTAGGCGCGAGAGCTCACAAGCTCACTTTTATAACAACTTTCTTGGTAGCGGGCTTAGAGCTTGAAAGCACAGGCTTTGTGGACGGCCAGAGCTGGAGACAAGTCCTGGGTCTGCTACTGACCATGTGACACTCTAAGTTAATTTCCCTGAGACTCCAGCTCCTCATCTGTAAAGTGGTAAGAATAATATGTTTCCTAGGATCACAGTGAGTAGTAAATGAAATAATGCAGTTGAAGAACTCAAGATACATGGTAGGCATTCAATAGCTGTTGGTTATTACAGTCAAATCCAAGCACTGCCACTTACTAACTGCGTGGCCGCGGGCAAGTAACTTCACATCCCTGAGGCTCAGTTTGACCCCTGTAAGGTGAAGGATTAGACTAGATGATCTTATGTTCTCTCCCCCATGTGATATTTCAGAGCAGCTTTTTCAAGTGGCTGGTTGTGACCCATTAAAATGTCTTAAAATCCACTTAGAGGATTGTGACCAACATTTTTTAAAAACAGGCTGAATGTGGTGGCTCACACCTGTAATCCCAGCACTTTATGAGGCTGAGGCAGGAGATCACTTGAAACCAGGAGTTGGAGACCAACCTGGGCAACATAGTGAGACCCCATGATCTCACCACTGCACTCCAGCCTGGGTGATAGAGCAAGACCCTGTCTCAAAAAAAAAAAAAAAAAAAAAAAAAAAAATTCAGGATGTATCACACATTTCAGTCACATTTTCAGTCAATGGGACTTTTGTTTCAGTTTTGGGTTTGTGTACTCAGGCACAATGTAAAGTGTTTTTCATATTGTGGGTTGAGGTCAAAAGAATTGAAACCCACAGTTGAGAGTTGAAATGATTTTGTTTTTAGTTAGAGTGGAATACTTTCTTACTCCCTGGTGGGGAGGAGGAAAGACAGGATGCAGAAAGAGTTTTGGGATACCCTGGATACCTCCTGCCCTTCACATCTGGCTGTGGAGTACCCAGATAAGAATGGGTGCTGGTGAAATACAAACCAAAGTATCCATCTGTTCAAGTTCCATTCAAAAATATTTTGATGCCTACTTCAGTTACTTGTGAAATAGGCAAGCTTCTGGTTCAGAATAGCTCAATGTCATGGATTATTCCTCTTCTCACATCACAGTTTCAGGTAAGGGGCTTTGCATGTGGTGCATGCATAGTAAATGTTTGTTTAATTGAATGATACACTCACTAGCCTTTCTTTGGAAAGAGTATGTCGCATTGAAGGACCAGGCCTTACCGAGGACATCAACTCACTTTGACTTCCTTCCTGTCATCTGCCTCAGTGGCATCCTTTAATGATTTATTGAGTTCTCTGTGCCAGACATTGTGCTAAACACATTATGTAGTTCATCTCAATTATTTGTTACATGTACTTTAAGAGGTAGGTACTGTTACCTAATGTTACCTCCATTTTGAAGATGAGGGAAACTGAGGCTAAAAGAGGTGAATTAACTTGCCCAGGACCAGATAAGGTTAGGAAGTAACCAGGCATTGAACATCCCCTGCAGTGTTCCTGAAACACATCCTCCCATAGTTTCCTGGGAGGAAAAAGGTACACCTGAAGTAAGTATGTTGTATCGATTAGCTTATGCTGTGTAACAAATCACCCCAAAACTCAAAAGCTTTATACAAACATTGGTTATTTCTCATGAGTCTGTGGATTAGCTGGGCAATTCTTTTCTGGGCTAGTTCAGCTTGAGCTAGAAAGTTTGGTATGGCCTCACTCATATGTCTGGTTGATATTGGCTGCCAGCTGGGGTGCTGGGGCCACATGTCTCCAGCAGACTATCTGAGCTAAGTTACATGGTGACAGTCACAGAGTTTCCAAGAGCAAGAGAGGGCAAAAACTTGCATAAGCACTTTTTTTTTTTTTTGAGACAGAGTCTCACTGTGTTGTCCAGGCTAGAGTCCCATGGCATTAGCCTGGCTCACAGCAACCTCAAACTCCCAGGCTCAAGCGATCCTCCTGCCTGAGCCTCCCCAGTAGCTGGGACTATAGGCACGCACCACCATGCCCGGCTAATTTTTTCTATATATTTTTAGTTGTCCAATTATTTCTATTTTTAGTAGAGACGGGGTCTCGCTCTTGCTCAGGCTGGTCTCGAACTCCTGAGCTCAAATGATCTGCCCCCCTGGGCTTCCTAGAGTGCTAGGATTACAGGCATGAGCCACTATGCCCTGCCAGGAGTTATCATTTTCATTCTCCTTATTTCCAATATGCCTATATTAGTTATCTTTTGTTATATAATAAATTGCTCCTAAACTTAATGACTTAAAACGATAATTAACATGTATAATCTCTCAGGTTTTGTGAGTCAGGAATTTGGGAGCAACTTAGCTGAGTGGTTCTGGCTTTCAGTCTCTCATGAGCCTGAGGTCACCTGAAGGCTTGCCTCAGGCTGGAGGATCCACTTCCAAGATGGCACACTCACACGGCTGGCAAGTTTGTACAGGCTGTTTGCCATGTGGACCTCTCCATAGGACTGTTTGAGTGTCCATATGATATGGCAACTGGCTTTCACCAGACCAAGTGATCCAAGAGAGAGCAAGGTAGAAACCACAATGTCTTTTCTGACCTGGCCTTAGAAGTCACATACTGTCCATTCTATAACACCCCATGGTTCCATAGGTCAGCCACATTCAAGGTGTGAGGGAACACGTAAGGGTACAGATACCGGGAAGTAGAAATCATTGGAGGCCAGCCGGGTGTTGTGGCTCACACCTGTAATCCTAGCACTCTGGGAGGCCGAGGCAGGTGGATCATTTGAGCTCAGGAGTTCGAGATCAGCCTGAGCAAGAGCTAGACCCCCATCTCTACCAAAAATAGAAAAAATTAGCCGGGCATGGTGGCACATACCTGTAGTCCCAGGCATGGTGGTGCATGCCTATAATCCCAGCTACTTGGGAGGCTGAGGCAGGATTGCTTAAGCTCAGGAGTTTGAGGTTGCTGTGAGCTAGGCTGATGCCACAGCACTCTAGCCCAGGCAACAGAGTGAGACTCTGTCTCAAAAAAATAAAAAAATTCTCAAGGACTAAGCAGCATATCCCCACCAACTCCAAGGTGTTTTATTAACACACCCACATAGAAGGGGACTAGATATTAGCTGCAGCAAAATGCATATAATTTAAGAAAGCAAATATTTGCTTCAAAGGGTTTCTAAGAATGATGCACAGCAGATTAATAATAAGAGTGAACATTTATGGGCAGCATTATGAGAGGCAATATAGCACTGAGGTTAAAGGCAGTGTCTGGAGCTAGACTTCCTGGGTTTCAAGCCTGGCTCTCTGTCACTTACTTACTAGCTGTGTAAATTTGGGCAACTGATTTAACCTGTTTCCTCACCTGCAAAATGGGGTAGTGATAGTACATTCCATATAGTAGATGTGGAGATTAAATTGAATCAATTCTAAATGATGAACATATTTTGGAAAAGTTTTTACTATGGGATCTACAATTCACCCTGCAAATCTAAAGATTCATTC